CCGTGGTGCTGAGGGTGGCAAGCATGCAGTTCTTTTCTCAGTGTCATCCAGAGGAACTTTTCTGCCTGTTTTGTGGACTATTATATTCTGTGCCAGAGAAAGAAATTACGGAGCCCTCAGTGATTCGCTGTGATGAATCTGCGCAGCACTGTGAAGATAAAGTCACTTGCATTCGTCATGAATTGCACTCTGCAACTAATGCAGTTCCACCGGCAGAGGCATCCAGAGAACCGTCTGGTTCAGTTGTACAGGACGAGCTTCAAATGCAGTTCAATAGGAGCAAGCGTGGAGTACTGCATCTTGGGGCAAAAAATCCCAATTTCAAGGATAGACTAATGCACTGGCAGTGATCGAGGAAGAAAGAGATCTTGGGGTAGTGGTGGACAGCTTGAGAAAAATGTCAGCCCAGTGCTCAGCTGCTGTGGAGGACCAACTCCATGCTAGGCATAATTAAGAACGGGATTGAAAGCAAAAATCTTGCTTCCTTTCTACAAATCCTTGGTGCAACCATACTTGAATGTGTTCAGTTCTAGCCGCCTCACCTGAAAAAGGGCATTTTTGAGTTGGAAAAGGTGCAGAGAAGGTCAACAAAGATGATCGGGGGGCTGGGGCAGCTGCCCGATGAGGTGTGGCAATGACAATTGGGCCTGTTCAGCTTAGAAAAACGGTGAGTAAGGGGAGACATGATAGAGGGGTTTATAAAATAAAGCATTGTATTGGGAAAGTAGAAAGGGAGACATTTCTCTCCCTCTCCCATAACACTTGAACCTGGGGCCATCCCATGAAGCTAACTGGTGGGAGGTTTAAGGCAAATAAAAGGAAATATTTCTCAACACAGCATGTAGTTCAATGGTGGAAGTTGCTGCAGCAGGAAGTGCTGGTGGATACCATCTCGATGGCTTTAGAAATGGATTGGACAGACTCATGAGGGAGGAGGCGCTCAGTGGCTGCTGGCCTTGCTGGCCATGTGCTGCCCCCTTCCCCAGGAGGTGGCCTGCCTGCAGACGCCAGGTGCTGAGGAGCTGGGCAGGTGGACGTCTTGTACCCATCCTGCTTGAGGGATCCTGTGGGCAATATGTGTAGAGTGTTGGACTAAATAGGGATCCTCAAACTTTTTCAATAGGGGGCAAGTTGAAAGGCAGCGGTGACTGGCATGGGTTGGTGAGGAGAGGGGGCCTGGGCGTGTGGGCTGGTGAATCATTGTCAGGGGCGTGCGAGGCGGCGTCGGGCGCACGGGGCAGTGGCTCACTCGCTCGGAGATCTCCAAGCGAATGAGCCACCGCCTCCCCATCTGCGCTGCGAGGCAGTGGCGAGTGCGCGAGCATGGCGGAGGTGGGCAGCAGCAGCGACTCGCTCTCTCGGAGATCTCCCAACGAGTCCAAAACCATCTCCGAGTGAACAAGCCACCACCTCCCGCCTGCGCAGTGAGGTGGTATGCAGGCTGGATAAATGGGCATGGTGGGCCGGATCTGTCCCGCGGGCCGTAGTTTGAGGACCCATGGAGTAGAGAAACATTTGGCTGACCCAGCAAGGCTTTTCCTATCTTCCAAAGTGCCTTAGCTAGATGGGTATAGAAGCACAACTAGTGAAAATGCAGGGCAAGAGGACAGAGAGAGGGAGATTGCTTGCCTCACTCTTCCCACTCTGTGCTGGATGCTCGTAAGCCCGAGTTCAGGAGCTTACAGACATCCTTATAGGATCATGCCCTATATGCATGTGCATGATATTAACGCAAACAAAACAGAAAAAATAATATATAGTTGCTGATCATTAATTGTACCTGAACATTTTCAAAGCATAGCATCCTTATTTTAAAAAAACTGATTAATTGGATTTAAGTCTCTATTATTCTACTCAGTTTGTACATTGTAATTGAAATATGCCTTGTCTTGTTATCTGGAAAAGCTTCTGATGCTCCATTTGGAAGCTTTAGAAAAGTTTCCTGGTACTAACTTAAAGAAGATACTGAGGTCTTGTAAGAACCCTGTGAGCATTTGCAAGGACTTATTTAATAGGCTCGCAGAATAGTTTTGATTCACTCTCCTATATCATGCTTAGCCCTTGCCAGCCCAATGACATTTTCTTCAAGGAAAGCTCAGTGAAGAAATACATGTTTTACAGCACTTTTAGATGCAACTGCCAGAACAAAAGCAAATCAATAGCTCAGATTTCCGAGCTGGAGAGAAGTTAATCTTAAAACAGGCCTGCAGATATCTGATACAGAAAGGGTTTTGTATATTACGCATTCCAGCTCAGACTCTGTGTGCATTTGTGTAAACATGTTCTTTACACTTGTGGCAGCGTTCCCTTTCTCAAATCTTTACAGTATGATATGTGTCCCCATTAGAATGTGTTTATTTGTTGATTTAAAACATGTTTATGCCACCCTTCAGTTTAGCAAAATTCGTAGGATGGCACACAATAGCCATACAAACAGCAGCAGGTTAAAAGTCCATACCAAAAAAGAAAAGAAAAGAAAAGAAATATTAAAACAATGTCTAGGAGTAAAACCTGAGCAAAGTGATAAAAACCAAGAGTACCAGTAAAAAATACTGTATCAGATTAAAGGCCAGTTTAGATAGCCTGCTGAAAATGGCGAAGTAAATAAAAGTGCCTTTGCCTGCTGCCCAAGGACACTGAGCTGGATCCCGAGAACCTCATGTGACACGGTGCAGCTGGGATTCCCTACCTCTTGCCCACTGCGCTTGCCCCACAGTTGTTGCAGAAGGTTGATGGACCCTCTGGAACCACACTGGATGGGGCATGAGAGGCAATGGCCGGATGGAAAGGTCAAGTTCTCAGTGGGGCTGCCTTGCACAAGCAGAAGTGGCTTTCTGCTCGTGTAGGACATCTCTGTAATGATGCAAGCCATGATGTTCAGTGCCAGGCGAGGCTCCTGGATGAGAGCTTTCTCAGGAGCAGCCACAGCAACTGAGAAGGTCTTCTCCTTGGTCCCTACCAGCCTTACCTCAGAAGGCGGGAGGATTCGGAGAAGGGCCTCTGATGATCACATGTGGGAGAAGGCAGGATTTTAGATATGGATATGGCCAGATGCAGTAGCCGGAGTTCCTGCTCCCTGAGCCATTTGTGATGTCATTCAGAATGTCACAGTCAGCACACTGCAGTGATTGGCTGATGCTATTCCCATTTAGCCCTTTCTTAGGGGCTGCAGCTGTAAATAGGAATTGTGAGAAAGGCTTTTTCTGACTTCTGCGTACTCAGACTGACTTAAGGGCTCTTTGGTCTAGTTTTGTCAGGGAAAAGTCCATGTTCCGTAATGGACAATTCTCAGCACCCTCCTGAAACTTCAGTGTGCAGGATTCTTTGGGGGCCACCCTGACTGATAGAATCAGTGTGATGGGCAGTGCTTGGGCCTGTAGTGTAGCTATGCTCATAGAACAGTCGCCAACAAACACCTGAGGTTGGTGCCACATCACTGATTTGAACTGTTCTGCTTGTTCAGACCTTTGTGGAGTCAGGCTAGACCATTTTGCAGATGCGTTCCTGTGTGCCTGGCAGAATCCTGATGGGTTCCCTGCAATGAGATATTCACATTGTTTGGACCCTTCACTGCACTCACTCAAGCTTGGATCCAGAAGCTTTCTTCCATGTATGGAAGAAAGCCCTTCAATCCTTTGGAGCCTTTCTACAGATGGAACAGGGGAGGGGGAAATTTACACCAGTCTCCCCCTTTCCTTGCAAACACCTATCCTCTGCAACTGTCTGTTCTGGAGGGTTGGGGAAACCTTTGGATGAGCATGGGAGGTCATCCAAAGAGAGGGGAGAATCGGCAAAGATTGTCTCCTCTCTTCCTCCGGGCCAAGCTGTCCTGAGCAGACTCCAGCAAGCTCTCCATTACAAAATGGTGCTCCTGCAGAGGAGGACTCTGCATCGAACCCTTTGACAGAGGCTATATGGGTGACTAGTTGTGGATTCAAGTAATCGAGGTGCAGAGAATGGTCCTCCTGCCCCCACTCTGTAAATTTCAAGTAATACTAGCTTTGCAGAATGCTGCAAGAAAAATTCTATTCATGGTGATGCTCCTGAGGTCATTTCAGACTGAATATACATGAAACATAGTGTACCAAGGTACAGACTGCTATACCCAAACATGTTTAACACACACACACACACACAGACACAAACATTATCTTATTAATTACTGTGAACAATGAGTCCATGATGGTGGAGAATAATGAGGTGGAAAGTAAAATGTACAAAACTACTAGGGAAGGAGGTGGGGACAAAGAGAAAATGAAAATAAGACATGTGTACAATCTTTTGTGAGAGGAAGAGTTCCTGGCTTGATGTGCCAATGAACAAACAATGTCTGTGCGTTGTTAGGAATTACCTGAAAAGTGGAAGAATCTTAAAAAGATTGCCTTCACTGTGAAGCATGAAGTGGCTCCTCTACAGTCCAATGAAGTATCTGTTATCAGAAGAAAATGTGTACTTTTTGAGGTGAGATCAGTTCTGTGCTGTGAACCGAATGATTTTTCGTTTTTTGTTCCGATAACAAGCTGGTGGCAAGCTTCACTGAACTGAGAAATTGTAAACTCTTAGAAAAGGCTGTCTAAAGATAACAATTCAATGTTTCTTGGTAATATATTCTGGATGAATCTGATAATTTAAAGCCCACTTCACCTAAAATGAGAATGATGCTTGCATCTTCTTTATCTTCAATTATGTCTAATATGTTTCTAATTCAAACATAGTACCACTGTTGTCAGATCAAATGTAGATTTTAAATGTTTTATATTTATCCATTGGGAATGTTTGAAATGCATGTGAGCTGTGTGTGAGGGTTGTGCAGCCTATATCTAATAAAGTTTTAAGCAAATTTAAGGGAAATAAGAGTACTTAAAATGAAATGATTCAAGGTTCATGAGATGGAACATACTTAATGAATGGAAGTCAAGGAAAAGTTATGGTATGGTCTCAAAGGATCACCTGCTTAACCTTATAGGAGCCCAACTTCAAATATATACTGTGTCTTTCAGGTCAAACAGCAAGAGTTTAGAAACAGATTTAAAAATGAAGTCATCTTTCGATTTGATGCAGAGGATCCTTATGCATGCCTAGATAAGGTAACATTTTTTTCCTGAATCAGACATTTCAGTAATAGTAATAAAAAAGATTAGGATTTGTCAAGATTTTTATTGGCCTTATTCCTGTGTTATTTACTGCAACCTGACACAAACATTTAGTAGGTGAAGGTTTTCCTGACATGGTGATTAGTAGTGGGAAAAGCATAATCGCTCAGATAGCTTGTGTTGAGGCAGTCTATAGTTCTACTGTAAAAGAAGCAAGAGCAAGAGGAAGAGGGAGGGAGGAAGGAAGGAAGAGTGACAACCCTAACTATGACTTCCAACTTACACAAAACTTACAAAAATGTGGCTGTATGTATGACATCTCTGAGGGGAGCTGAAGCAAAATATTATGAGCTTTCCCACAAGTATCTTGAGTTGAAGAAGTCAATTCTCAAAGGCCATTTCAGAAGTCTTTGCAAACAAGATTTTTCAAACAGGAAATGGAAACAGCTGTTTTTAAAGAGAGGCAGAGCTCAGTAAACAGGCACTCCTGCAGTGTATAACATACTCCACATATGTTGACTAAGTACCTTTGCCAAGTGCAAGGAAATCTTGCACAGTCGCATTATTTACTGACTTAAGGTGCAGCCCAGTGAGGCTGCCCACTGCCCTCGGGACATGCAGGATTACAGGCATCCTAGGCACGCTGGGAGCATGCGGAGGCTGCATTCCCCTCTCTATTCCTCCTGCCCTGCAAATCAGGAAGATGGCCAGTTTCAGCCATCAAGCTGTGGCACTTCAGTTGGGGAGAGGAGGGGGCTGGAGCGCCACCAGGAAGCAACATATTCTGGCAGACCCAATATTTTCCCTCACCCACCCCTCTCCCTGCCCCCTTTGCCCTTTCTTTGAGCTTGCTCTTTCAACCTCAGAAAAGCAGCCAACGTACGTCTTCCCATGCCAGCTGTGAAGAGGGAGAGCAGCCAAGGCAGAGATCCCCAGTTCCAAGGTCACAACTCATTTCCTCCCATTAATTTGGGAATCCAAAAAATCCTATGGCCATCTCTGGCTGTGTAGAGCCAGTGAAATCACTCTGCTCCTCTCTTACCTATTTATTAAATTGATGGGACAATCTTTTCCAAGGTTTGTTGACCACAACACAGATGAGTTCCAACAAAGGCCATGCAGCTACATTGGGGAAATGCTGTCCTAGAGCAATGTACACAATAAAAATAAAACCATAACATCCATAACTTCTGAAATGCAATCATAGTAAAAAGCTGCTGTGAAACTAGAATTCTGAATGCTTAAAACAGAACTTGAAACAGCAGCAAAGCAGCAAACAAATCCTAATAGTCTCGAACACTCACAGAGGTAAAACTGCTCAGTACACCCCTTTCGAGCATCAGATTGTTTTATGCAATAAAACATGTAACATGCTAAAATGATTGAGAGAGGGTTTGTTGGTTTGTTGGTTTGTTCACCTGCCACCAGAAAATTATCAAGGAAAGCTCCAAGTAAATGTTTCAAGAGCAAACCATGTGTGGTTGCGCTTGGAGAGTGGGGTGAACCCTGAACAAGGCTGCTCATGAGTAGGCACCTACATTTCAGCATGTGGAGCAGGGTTTCTGATGAAGGCCTCAGGGCAGGTGCAGATGGAAAGAGACCTTATTCTACTGTCCATTCACTTAGAGTATATTGACTTTGAAAAAAGTGATGGAAAAAATAACATACATCTTACAAAAGAGTCCCTGAGTGTGTTCAGATTGTCCATTTTTGCCAACTACACCCACAACCAGTTTGCAAAACTTTGGGATTATGAAAAAAGGCAAGGTTCAAGAAAGAAAGAAATCATGTAAACCAATTCATCAAATGAAGAAGGGTTGCTAGCATTTCAGAATTGGGTTTTGACTTTCTGATATTAGAGGGGATCCAACATTTTTGTAGCATCTGTGCATTATCATATATATTTTGGTTACTGCCCACCTATTCAAGTCAGAGAAGGACAGATGCAAAATCTTTATCTGAGAAGTCCATATTCTGTTTCTTGTAAAAATGCAAAACAAGGCCCTGGTGTTTTTGGTTGTTAAGACATTCCAGAATGGCATTCTTTCAGACTCATAAAGACATTGCGAAACTAGAGGCAGAAATGAAAAATCTTCAGGAAACTGCAAACCTTTTTGAAGTAAGTGTGCCAGAATACAAGCAGCTGAAACAGTGCCGTACTGACGCCATCTTGCTAAAGTCTGTCTGGGATATGGTGGTGTTTGTCCAGGTAAGGACTTGCCTTTGCAATGTGCATTTACTAAAGGAGAGTTATTTCTGGAAAAAAGTACATTTGCAGAAAATGAAAGTCCATGCAATCATTTTGTAAGTTGGTGGAACCTGTTTTGTTTGTTCCCTACTAGGTCGTGGAAGCAGGCTGGAGGTAAGCATGAGGTAAGCAAGTAACTGAATGAGGTTACAGAGATAATGAATGAAGCAAAATGGCAAACTACTGTATGTGTAATACTACTACCGAAACTTTGCAGCCATTTTAAACTGTGCCTTTATTTAGCTTAGGGCTGAAGCTCCAACCAGGAAGGGAAGGATAGATGAAGACAAACATCTGGGGAGAAAGGGACAGCGCATGAGTGCAAAGCCAATTTACAATCCATGCTTTGCTTCTTCCTTCTGAGCCAGTTCAGCATATTGGACTTTCCTTTGTTTTATAGCTTTCTTATATGAATAAGAATGTCAGCATGGAAATCAGTCTTGGTCTTGTGTATGCTCAAGAGAATTTAAAGAAGGATGAGCTATCCACAGATTAACCAGATCCATACTTGTTTTCTGTAATTATATAGAACTCTCTTATACCAAGTCAGATAACTGGTCCATCTAATATTGCCTGCTCCAACCTTGCCCATCCTAGTGCCAACCCCCATATATTTTGGTGTACAACTTCCAGCATTCCTGATCCTGATGATGGGCCATGCTGGCCAAAGCTGATGGGAGTTGAAGTCCAAAACTTCTGGAGGATACCATGTTGGAGCAGGCTAGTCTTTTTGTTGGGTGGTGGTTCCTCAGGGTCTGACCCAGACCTTCTTCCTGATTCTTTTTAAGATCAGAGATGTTGTGTATGGGAACAGGGAGTGCCTTCATTATGCATAGGACTAAGCTGTGCCTTCCCTGCAAATACCTGACGAGGTATGAGAACTTGTTACTGTAGAGCCTTGTACAACACCATGACTTAGGTTCCTAGTCAAATGCCTGGATGCTACTTGTTCTGTTGCTCCTTCAACAACATAAAGAAACATTTCTTGAAAATTTGGAATCCAGGCAGCTGAACAATGCCTTTTCAGGAGCAACCAGAATATTACCAAAGGCTGTACACAGACATATATAGCCTTTGCTTTTGCGGATGGGGACTGTGGTTTGAAAATTAATTCCATGCTATTTCTGCTTTATGCCATGTGGCAACTGCATGTATGACAATGTTAAATTACTTATGAACATGTGACTACAGTGAATAAAGCACACAGGAACAATGCTAAGAAAAAGCATATGCTAGAGAAACTCATCAATATTCTGTTTGATGATCTCTCTCTACTGATTATAGGATTTTCATTTTGCAACATTTCCAAGTATGTTTATATATAAACTGCAAATAATGGGTCACAGTGATAAACGGGGAAGAAGGAACTATGTCCCCTGGGCTTCTAGAAATCACTATATGACATATATGTGTATAAAATATATGTGTATAAAGCCAAAGGTCCTTCATTCCAGTGGATGGAAGCTCCAACACACTTGCTAATAAGAAGATGCATAGCTTTTGCTAAATAAATCAATTCCCTCATGGGATCAATGAGAACCATTTAAAGCAGGGGGAAATTACCCCCCTTCCCTGCTTAGACCACATGTGAGTCATCATAATAGATTAAATCCAAAATAATGAAATTGGACTTTCATTCTCATAACATGGCTTCCCCTTGTTCTCCTCCCCGCACAGTCCCCTGCATAGCCCCCAAATCTGGTCCAGATGGTTCCCCAACCCTCTGAAGCGGACCTGGGGTTTGTACAAGAGGCAGTGGGGCATGGGAGGAGGGGAATCTGTTTCACTGACATTTTCTGATCCATTGGCAGCCAGCCAGCATTGGATACAACCCAGAATCTCTCATTATTAAAAAATACTAAACAATGATTACAACAAAATGTTAACTGCCTTGTTTTAGCAAATTCCATTCTAAATATATCTAACACCATTCCTTTGAACTTTGCTGTAAATCTTATCCTTTCATTGAAACCTGAAATGACACCTTGATCTTAACATTTAATAAAAAATAAGGAAATTGATAGACAGAACGTCATCCCTTCTTTTTGGTTTTGCATTTCCTTTTCTTAGCCAAGTAACAGTGATGACAGTAAGTCAGATAGAAGAATTAGGGTGGGGAAGGAGAGCACCTCAGCGAAAAGATTAAAATGCTGGGGTCCTTTTCTCCCAGCTTTTGATGAAAAATCACCTTGTTGATTTTCAAAGAATTTCTATGTTTGGAAATGTAATGCGTTTGAAGCTGTCCAATGTTTTCCCCCTAAAATGCAAGCAAACTTTTGTAGCACAGAGAATGAAGAATATGTCGTATCCCCTTAGATTAGATTTCAGCCTCAGTAGGTTTCCGATTTTGACATTCACCTTGTAGATCGTGTGCACTATACATATTTATACACAGAGCCTACACTTGAGTGTGAAAACTCTCTTTGCATCATAAGATGCCACAGAAGGACTTATGGGATTTTTCTCCCCAGATGAGCATTCAAGACTGGATGAAAACTCCATGGAAACAGATAAATGTTGAACAAATGGATGTGGACCTTCGAAGATTTGCAAAGGTAATGCTTTCTCTCTGCTACTGTATGGCATTTGTTTATTGTGCAATATGCACAATGTTGATCAGACGGGCAAACTGATTGGGCAAATCCCTTTTGCAGGCATCAGACAACAAAAGTGTTATCGGCTGCCTGGAAAGCAAGGCTTTCAGCTGCACTTACTTGTATTGGTTTAACAGCAATTAGTCCCCACCCAGGAATTTTGGGGACTGGCTTCCTGTGGACTGGTGCCTGTAACAAAAGCACCCTCACTGGTTAAACATCATTTAAAAACCCTTTACTGGGTCATAGAACAGTTTCCCAGCCTGCTGCCTTCTAGATGTCTTGAACTTCAACTCCCATCATCTCCAGCCAGTGTGGCAAATGATCAGGAAGGCAGGGAGAGGTAAACCAGGCACCAGATTGATTTATTGCATGGAGAAATCCCCGATTGTTAGCGTTATCCTCACTGCTTGTTGCTTTGCCCAGGGTTGTGGCGACAAAAGCTGAGGCACATTTAAGCATTGTGCATGGAGAAAGACCGTCTAGGGAATGAATATACCAATCCCACATAAATCCCCCAGCGTCCACTTAAGTTCACATTCTTTTATATATGTTATCAGGAGTTTCTGTTTGAATTAAGAATGATGGGATTAGTTGTGGGGCCCACTCCAGGGTAGGGATGTGCGAGGAATCGATCAGATTCCCTGGGCTCTGCTCCCTGGACTCTGGCCTGCTTTCTTGTGGCTGTGATTCTGACCTGCTGGCAAGCATGCCGAGCAGTTGCACTGGCACCTGCCGGAAGGAAGCAAGGTTGCACAAACACTGCGTATCTGTCTCTTCCTCACCACATGCCTTGCCGCCTTTGTTGTGCTGCGCATGCTGCAAAAGAAGGTTGCCGGTTGTGCAACGAGAGTCCTGCAAGCATCTGCAGACTTCCTCTTGGCTCAGCTCACTTCCTGAGTGAGAGCTGAGCACAAGAAGAAGCCTGGTAATCAGCAAACAACCAGAGTCGTCCCCGGCTGAAACCCTTGTGCTTGGGGACTTGGGCTGGCTCAGCTACAGTGGCCTACAGTTCTGGCAGATGGGTCCAAGAATGGAAGGAAAGATCTATTTTTCTGGGTTGGGGTCCACTGACAGTTCAGTAAGAAGGTGGTATCAAAGAGTTCAACCAGCAGGTGGTAAACAGAAGTGTATGCAGAGTAAATCCCCTTCACAGATAATGCTAGCAATCACTACAGATGGGCTGGTGCCCATGCAGTGTGAACAGAGGAGACACAGTGGTGCCTTCTACTTCAAACTACTCTAACTTCGAACAATCCAGAGTTCAAATGTTAAAGTCTCTATACGAGAAATCATTCTGAAGTTTGAACGGTGCTTCCACATTCGACCTGCATGCACAGTGAAGTGTGGGTGCAGCATGAACATCATCTGCTGTGTGCCCAGGACCCTCAGAAAGAGGTTTAGAATTGGGGCCAAAACCTCCAGTTAACCTCAAGAGCAGGCTGCGAGGAAGCCCTTCAGGTCCACTATTTAATCTTTCATTTAGGATCATACTTCCTATCATGCTGCTAAGTGTCGGGGTGGTGGTGGGGGACTCACAGGCAGAGCAAGCCTAACTGCATTTACCCAGAAGAAATCAATGGGACTTCTTATTTTCTATGAGAAATGAGCTTGGAAGGACTTCAGCTGTGCTTCCAACTTCCACTTATATTAACATCCTGGGTAGGAAGCGAAGGGTCCCGGCCTGCGGAGAGGCAACCGAAGGCAAAGTTTTGGGCCCGATCCTTGTGTCTTCAGAGGCTACGAGTATCACCAAATTATACTGATGGTTTGGGCACAAGAAATGTAGCCCACTATTCTTACTCAGAGTTCCCTGGAGTTTCACCCCCCCACCCCCAAATAAGTTGAGAGGGAGTTTGTAGCCTTTCTCTTCAAAAACAACATGGAGAGTTAGCTGGTTGGAGTGCAGTGCAGAGGGGAAAACAAAGCAAAACCTACAGCCGTGATCCGTCCTTGTTTCCTGATAAGCAAAGCTTGCTGAATTCAACAAGGTGGCTCCTACTTTGAACTTAATTCATTTCAGGAGGGTGTATTTTCTGTTCAAGTTTATCGAAATGGGTATTGTTTAGGGTCTGGGAACAGATTAATTTACTTTTCTTTATTTCTAATGGGGAAAATTTATTTGGATTTTGAACAATTCAGAGTTCAAACGGCTTCCTGAAATGAATTACGTTTGAGGTACAAGACACTACTGTATTTGGCCATTTTCCTCTGCCCTGGTCAATCAACACAGGAGAAATGCAGTATATGGGATGGGAACGTCAGGATTTAATCTGCTAAATCCTGATCCCCATGCAGTGATTCTACTCTTCTGCTTGGAGCCCATGCCAAGAGAAGTTGTATGTGTATACACTGTGTCCCTGCACTATCACAGGGAACAAAGCCTATATACGTACAGCTTGCATGCATGCAGGCTTTGTGCAGTGGAACCAGTCAGGCCTGCAAAGTTGAGGCGTGAGCAGTGGACATGCTCTCCCCCTTTCCCCCTGCGTTCTCCCTGCACTGGTCAACTGAATGAACCTAGTCAGGATAGCTGATATTCATTTGCAAATTGACTCTTCCCAAACAAAGTGTTAAGGATAATGTGGAAGTAACCCGGAAGTGATGAGGTCTGTCCTTCAGAAAGCTTGAGTATTTGCTGCATTTCACGGCTACTTCACATTACTTCTTTTCTTCCTTTCTTTTCTATCCTGCACAGGAGATGAGGAATCTGGATAAAAAAATATGGGCTTGGGATGTCTATGTGGGCTTAGAATCAACTGTTAGAAATCTGTTAACCTCCTTAAGAGCTGTGAATGAACTCCAGAACATCGCGGTCCGGAAAAGACATTGGCAACAACTTATGATTGCAACAGGGGTATCCCTTTTTGGCATTGCGTGGGGGGCTTCACACAGGCAGGGTGATCGAATAGCATGGTGAGAACGGTTTACTTCCTTTTCAACTCCTAGGTCTGTTTTGTGATGAACGAAGACACTACACTAGGAGACCTATTAGCTCTTCAGCTCCACAGGGTGGAAGAGGATGTGAAAGGCATTGTGGATAAAGCTGTGAAAGAAATGACTATAGAAAAGGTATATTCCAGGGTTGGGGAACCTTTTTCAGTCCAAGGGTCACATTCGCTCTGGGAGAGAACGCCACAGGCTGTATGCCTGCATCAGGCAGGAGCATAGCCCAAGATGGTGGCCTCCACATACACTGGCCCCAAGGCAGGCAGGGTCAAAGCTGTGGGCATCTGATTTCCAGGGCTGCTTATGCCACCTGCTACTCTCCTCAGACCTCCCTGTTCCTTCTGAACTCAGCTGCCATGCCCTCAGTAACTCTGGGGTAGCTTGGCCTTGAATGGGTACTTAGAGCCCTTTAGATTGACAAAAGATCTGCTTCTGCTGGATATAAAACAATTCTACTGGACTGGGGATGTTGATCCTGTGCAAAATCTTTATTTTTGAGCTATTTTGGGGGTGCAGCCTTTGGGAGTGTCATGATGGATGCCTGACCCAGAGTCCAAAATTCACCGCTACAACACTGCCTCTACACACACGCACCACAGGGACTTTTATAGGAAATAGCCTACAACCCTATTGCCATTTTAGTCAGTAGAATCAAAAGCGCATGTGTGGAAGAACTACTGGATCTTTCTCGTTCTGTGTTCCCCTCAGGCACTCACGGAGATCAATCAGACATGGAGTGTTATGGATTTCTCATACGAACAGCAGCACAGCACAGACACACCACTGTTGACATCTGATGAAAACCTGATAGAAACACTAGAAGACAACCAGGTAATGACACACGTTCAAGATTTTCAAGCATTTTCCATGTTTGCCATCCAATTAAGTGTCCATCTAAATCTTAGAGAATTTTGTCATCAGCAGTGGATGCAGCAAAGTACATCAAGGCCAGGATGAAAGAACCTTGTGTACTTCCTCTTGCATCCCTTGGAGTCTTGCCTTTATTTCTCAGAAACGTTTGAGCTATTACAGTGAATAGATAATGCAGAATCTGTTATGGTTTCAAACAATAGGCATTTATTTTGAATGAACAAGAGATTCATTTTACAGTGTACTGCTGCCCTCAGCATTGCAGGAATGACTGCAGTCCTAAGGATGAAATATATTAACGTGATTGTACATCATTGGAAAGGTCCCTTGAGGGTTTATTTGGAATGGGAACAATGCCTGCCCAATTTCCATATACTTTTTAGGACAGATATATAAGAATGTGAAAATGTGAATAGTTTTATTAAATTAAATATTAAGTTGTTTTAATCCACATTACAGCCCTCCTATTTCCAAGCTTAAACCATAGTTCTGAATATATATGAAGTAAAGAAAGAAAGAAAAAGGAAAAAAAAATCAGTAGGTTAACCCCCCCATGCACATTGTCTGCAAAAGATCATGAAGCTCTGCTTTGACACTACTTTGCCTGTACTTACTTATTTATTTATTTATTTATTTATTTATTTATTTATTTATTAAAACATTTTTATGCCGCCCCTTTCGCCGAAGCCTCGGGGCGGCTTACAACAATTATGTACCTGCCAGGCCTGGTACATAATGCAGGCATGTGTGTATATGTGTGTGTGTACAGATGTAGGCATTCAGAACTTACTGTGCTGAAACTATGCCACCTATTTTGGGTACCTATTCCTTTCTGGATTTAAAGTTCAAGTTTTGATCTTTAAAACTCTGGATGAATATCAGGTTATTTGAGGGACTGCCTGCATCCATACAAACTTGCCAAGGCCTCTAGGTTACGCTCAGAGGCTTTGCTCACAGGTCCACCATCAAATTCCATCAGACTGGAAGCCCTAAGGACAAGGTCTTTCAGTAGTGGTCTCTCAGTAGTGGTTTTTCTGGAACTCTGAAAAAAGGATATATGCTCCCATCTTTACTAACTTTTACATGGACCTTTTGATAGATTGGCTTCACTCTGCATAAGTAGCTGCTATTTTCACTATTTGTAATTGGATTGTTTTGCTTGATTTAAAAGGTTTTCCATTTCAAGGCAGAACTGTGCAAGCACTCAGGGTTTCATGTTGCCATTCATGGATATACCAGACTCTCCTACTTGTGGGTGGGAAATGCTAAAATATTTGCAAAGCATGAAAAATGACGCCTCCATGTAAAGCATTCACAAACTCCCATGAGCAAGGAATCTCGAGCACACAACCAATGCCTCTCGCAGAAAGGCTCATAGAGATATTTTTTATTCCTTCTCTTGATTCCCCATTCAGTCGGAACTAAGTCATTCCAAATTATTTCCCTGCATAGCTACCACCTCATGTGTGCAGACATACGTGGTAAACATACACTGGTATATTTCACCACGGGTGAATTGGCGTGTATAACAGAAATCATACAAAAGAAAAAGGGGACCATTGCTAGGTGTCAAGTGGGTCTCTGTGTGTGTGTCAGCCAGCACACTATTCCCCTTGCACCTTCCTCCCCACCTTCCAGGGATGTGAAAGGGCTGATTCAGAAATGCAAAGCTGGCCACCCGCTTTCTTCACAAGTGCTGAGTTCACATGGCATGACAAGCAACCCGGCATGGTATCCATGGTGCATGGCTGCTTGCCTACATCTGCCTGGAACTTGATTAAGTGGTTTCTTTTCTAGGCTAGTGTGGTTTCCACCCTCCTTGCTCAGTCCTCCCATGGCTGGCAGGTATGCCATCAGCCACTGTACTTGAAATTCAGTCCCACACTGGATGGCTGGAACAATTCCTGCCGCAGCAGTGCTCTTTCCAGGGGATTCTGACAGAGCCGCAGAATGCTGGGCTTGGACAACCAGAGAAACCAGGCTGAAGTATGGAAAACACAGAACAGATCTTCGTTTCTAAAAACCAAACACACCATGTTGGAATACGCTCCCCAGAGAGGTTCACCTGGCGCTGTCCATTTATTCTTTTCAGTGCCAGGCTAAAGCCTTTTGATTTTCCCCAGTAGTTTAAGGTTTGACTGTTATTTTAATATGGGTTTTAGTGTTGACTGGTTAAGAATTTGTATAGGATTCTGTGTTTCATTTTATTTTTGCCTTATTGTTAAACTGTCCTGAGATTACAGTAAGGGACAATCTAAAAAAGTCTTAAATAAATAAGTACCATGACAGGGTTTGGACAACAGGACTTCCTGCAGCAAAAGCCATCACAGCTTGTTGTGTCCTTCAAACCCCTTTTGCTGGGCACACAAGGCTGACAAATTAACTAAGTAACTCCCCTCAATCGGTGAAGCTGCCCTGAAGTGAAGCTGGAAGGCTCTCTAACTCACTGGGGAACATTCCGTAAAATAAACAGCGGAGATTCTTGGCCTACAAGTGGGATCTACACCAAACTGTTGCAGTGCAGAGCTCTTGCTACACCGTGGGAAAGAATGGAAGAGATAAGCAATGGGATAAAGAATCTAGAATGAATGAAATCCTTAACCTCTCCTCCCAGTGGTCATCACTAGTTTGAGGAGAAAGCTGGTGGATATTCTGTTCTGGCTACATCATGAGCCACACTTGGAAAATGAGGCTACTATCAATATATCTGATGATAGCCCAAAATAATATCTAAATAATAAAATAGTCTTTTTTGAAAATCTGTGAAATCACACAGAAATTATAAAATGCAACCCAAAGCGTTTCCTGTGGAAATGGGGAAAGGAGGAAAAATTTGATTTTAAATAGATATTTTGAGCATTCTAACCAAAGCTGAAGTCCTGTACCAATAATCTGGAAATAAGTCCCATTGAAATCATTAGGGCTTAGTTTTGAATAGGCTGGCCTAGGATTCCACTGTTTGCCAGCCTTTGCTTGTTGAAAGCAGCAGTTGTAAACAGAAAATGGAAATAATGTGAACATATTCCAAACTTCCTTTATAGATACAATGATTTTGGAGGCCATTAAACTAACAGCTAGGATATACTTCCATTCCGTTATGTTCTGAGTGCTTTCTTAAGTCTGAGTTCTATATTATTCTCACAACAAGGAAACTGCAAAAGGCCTGCCATGGCATGAGGAACTTGCATTAATTAAATGGCAAGTCAATGTTTCCTATGGCAAATTATTGCCAGGTTTTGTTCAACATAAACAGCTGTTTGCAGTACACCCTTCAGATATGCGGGTTGCGTGCTTAGAGCCCATGCTTCAGATAATGTCAAACAGGGATGCTGTTCCCTTTACTTGGGCATGAATTTTGGGGCATGAGTACTGATGCTTATGTAGTCGAAGTTGCACCGCCCACTCACCAGGGATTGGTCTCAGCTGGCTGGAAGATGCCCAGACTTTTTTTTAGACGTGTAACCCCCCGATAAAAATATTGTAAGTGGGGGCTAGCCCCCCCCCCTCCAAGAAAGCTTAAATGAGGACTGTGTCCAGTAGCTATCAAATACTGATTGACTGTTAGGAGGGAGATGTAATACTAACATGGGTGAGGGCGTAGCCGGCCGGCTGGATCTCTGAACAGCATTACTCCAGACGTGCAAACCTGGCACCCCATTTGTGGAATCAGCTCCCCAGGAAAATACTCCAGGTGCTGGCATTATATAATTTTTGGCATCAGGTTAAACCCTTTTTATTTTCTCACTGTTTTAGTTGTTGATTATATTATTTGATTTTATATTGACTTTTAAGAGTTTTATTGGTACAAGTGGAATAGTTGTTTAATTGATTGTTAATTATTATTATGTATTGTTTTGTTTATTGTTGATTTGTATATTGCTGCTGAATTTTATTGTTGTATGGATGTCTTAAGGCAGGCATGTTTCCTTTAAATCTGTTTTTAAATTGAACGTTACATTGTACATTGTCTTAATAGCATTCTGTACACCATTCTGGGAGCGTTGTACTAATTGAAGGGTATAGAAATGCCTAAATAAATAAATATTTTGTTGATAATTATATTACTTCTTAGGAGGAGTATGTACATAATTAACCTATGACCTTATTCCAATATTATTTTTTTGCAGGTTCAGCTTCAAAACATCTTAATGAGTAAATATGTGGAGCATTTTTTGGTGGAGGTCAGCAGTTGGCAGAAAAGGTTAATGGTAGCAGATACGGTTATTTCATTGTGGCTGGAAGTGCAGCAAACCTGGGGCCACCTTCAGAGTATCTTCACCAATTCTGAGGACATACGGAGTCAGCTTTCAGAAGATGCAAAAAGATTTGAAAGGATTGATCAAGATTTTAAGGTATGAGCAAGCACCCCTCTCTTTCTTTCTTCATAAGCAACAGGGGAGGTAGAACACCTGCTGAAAGAGACTTTTAAAAAATGGAATCACCTACTGTAAAAGTAACTTTGAGAAAATAAGGGCAAACTTTAATTGTTTATTTACAAATTGTGTAAGTCACTAAAAAAAGTTCCTGAGCACTGAACTGTAAAGGAACAAGAATAAAGATATAAAAATTAATATATTTAAAATCAAATTATTCCTTAGCAGAGCCCCAAAACCCACCAACACAGGTGTCCAACTGACATCCTGTATCCAAAGGATGGGTCTACAGAAGAAGAATTAGTACACAGAAAACCAGAAGCTGTCCTCCACATGGACCCTAAACGAGCCACAATTCCACGCAGAACTGCTAGGAGCACCTCACTCTCTCAATATGGACTTAATGACTAGCATTCAGTAGATAATGAGAAAGTCTATGGGAGGTGTGTGTGCAGGGGGTGGGGATCTGTAAGAATAGCATTGAGGGTTCCATATATAAATTAGTCTCTTCTCAAAAATTCTGGGAAGAAAAGTTCTAAATAATGCTGAAACAGTTCAGTAAATTAAGTTTCAGTGACTAGGGCTGATACTGAATGTTGCATTCAATCCAGAAAGAAAAATGGCCAGTTCAAATGCCTACAGAAACATACATCGTTATTTGTTTTTCGGCGCCAGGCCAAGACCTTTTTATTTAAAAGTCATCTTAATTGTTAGCTTATTTATTGATTTTATATCTTTGGCCAGGACGTCTCCAATTATATTGTTTTTATATGTTTAACATGTATTTATTTATTGTTGTGAGCCGCCCCGAGGCTTTGGCGAATGGGGCGGCATAGAAGCTTACTAAATAATAAAATAAAATAAAATAAAATAAAATAAAATAAAATAAAATAAAATAAAATAAAACAATACATTGGCTCTGGCTGGCATGTTGAACGTGTAGCCTGCCCCTGCCCACCACTGGCAGAATGTAATCTTTTGCCACACTCTCCGGACACACTGTACTGTAGGATAACTTTTTAAGGGGAGAAGAATTGTATGGAGAGCAGCCAATATTTGTTGGCAAAGACCTACTTTGCATGAAGAAAGGCCCAAGTTTAATATCCAGTGTGTTTTGGTAGGGCAAAGAAGGACTCTGACCTGATAGCCTGGAGAGCCACTGAAGATCAATGGGCTTGATGGGCCAAGGGCCTGACTCCACAGAAGGCCGGCTCCTGGGTTTATAAGCCCTTACTGGCTTACAAGAGGAGTCAGGGACAGATTAGCTGAGTGGGTAAGGATCATGTAAACACCTTGTCATGGCAAGGTGTAAGTCCTAAAAGTGGTGGTGGGCCAAAGACTGCTGCCAAAATAACAATCCAACTTCTTCTGGAACTCCATTGCTGGGGTTCACATGTCAGAAAAATGCATTCTAGCTTAGAAACCACAATGAATTGTTCCCTGGTGTGAAACTGTTTGACTTATAAACTATGCTGATGACGCAGGGTGTGTACTTGGATCTGTCCAGTACTGACTCATTGCAGTGGGTGGTCCTGGCTAGCCATAAAAAACAAACGAGCTATTCGAAGTCATTTGTGGGAAATTAAGATGGGAGCAGTCAGTGGCTCCCACTTCATTTGGAAGCCGTTCTAGCTTCAAAATAGAAGCACATTTTGAAATAAAATAGGGAGGAAGAGGTGTCTCGGTGGGCAGGAAGGAAAGCATCTGAGAACACCTTGGTGCCTATTTGCCGCTAGTTTGCCTAATGGTCGCAGCTCACCCCCATGCTGTTTCTGATAAATGTGAAACTGCTGGGAGAGGTTATCTAGTGTTTGGGGTTCAATGTGAGGCTACCAGTGTGATGATCACATTAATTCTATCTCTCAGCTAAATCAAAGGAGGCTATTCTAGTTTTACATGTGCCAATTATTCCCTAATTTTTACTACAGATCTAGACTAAAGGTGACTTACCTAACAACATTTTGCGGCAGAACAGCTTTTTGAACCAAATATAACACTGACGATAAAAGAAAGGAAGAGAGAGAATGAGAGAGAGAGAGAGAGAGAGAGAGAGAGAGAGGGAGGGAGGGAGGGAGGGAGAGGCAAGAGATTCAAGTTTGATTCTAATGATGATGATTCTCCCCACCCCCCAACCCTGCATTTTCCTCCTGGATTTTCAGGAACTTATGGTAGTGGTGGTGAAGACAAAAAATGTGATCAAAGTAACAAATGAGATGGGATTGCTTGAAAAACTGCAAGTTCTTCAACAAAGGTTTGTCTTAGTGGCTCTATGGGCCCCGCATTTAAAATGGCCAGTGCATCATTTTGATGTCTGATCAGAGATTCTTGATGAATTTGATCTCAGTGTCCCGTACAACCCGACACCTTTCAGATTAATGTGTGGTTCCAAACTTCCACCTTCTCTACATGTTGCAAAATAGTTCTCAGTAGTTTAAAGATAAAATAAGTGTTTTGAGAGGAGAATGTGTTTAGAAAGGTGTATTTTGAAAGAAAATATTTTTGAGCACAAATATTAATCAAGCATGTATTTTTGGGAAGTTTTGTGATGGGGAAACTAAGATCATTGTGTAAACAGAGTAGAATCAGCATTTGGATAGACACATGCAAAGCGGGCACAGGCCTGAAGCAAACCTATAGCATAATCCTAGGCATGTCTACATGGAAGTAAGCCCCACTGAATTCAATGGTACTTACTCCCAGATACGTATAAAGGACTGCAACCTAATTCACCCATCCCTGGGGCCTTGGGTATGGCTGACAGGCCAATGAATTGTGTGCACCCCTCCATTTCCTCTGACCATAAAGTTTATCTGAATTTGCTAAGAGAAAAAATGAAGTACAGGCAGATTTACAGAGTGCCAAAAGGGTTCAAATTTGCTTCTTTGTAATTAGCTTCAGTGTCTCCAGGTGCCACTTTAAGATGCCTTTAATATCTTTTGCCAGTACCTGTGGAGTATGCATGTGGCCAATGGGGCGGGGGGGGGGGGGGGGGGGGGCGGGGTGGACAGGGGCAACAATGGCCATCAGGACTTTCAAATGTAGGCAGATGTTAAGACATAGGTCTGTAAATGACAGGGAAACAATAGTGATGCGGGCCACCTATTGCCAGCTTCATGGACAAAGATCATACCTGAAGTTCTGTGATTTGCTTTTCTTCATCAGTCTGGGCTCAGCCTTCTTTTACACGCTCCTGCAGTCCAGTAGGCCCAAATATCTCTGCATATGTGTCACACAACCCACCCACAAATTTCATATTTAATCCCTGCACAGAGTTGCCTTCCATGCAGGCAATTGTTTTTTGTACTGTGAGGCACAATCCAAGGAGCTACATGGCATAGGCTGATTGGAGCCTTGCTTTTTAATTATCTGGCTCGTTGGAGAAACTGTGTTTACATACTCCAGTGCAGCACAGACCGCTTCACATACCACAGGTCTGAGGTGGTTACACGCAGCAGGTAGCTGCAAACCCAAAGTTGTGTTCAACACATTTCCATGCAATGGAATATTGGTGCATATTTGCTTCAAATATCACAGGCTGCCTTTGGACATGACAGGAAGGCAGGATTTCTTTAAAAATGTGGCTTTTTATGAAAGAGTCATATGCTAGCACACATGCTTGGTTCCCCGTCAATGGGAGTAGCTGCACAAATGCCCACAGCCTGATCAGCATGATGCCTGAACCAGAAAATCTGACTTCTTGTTCCTCTGATAAATAACAAATCCATGTTTGCTCTTGGTTTGTGACTCTTGCTTGATGGAGAGGAAGACAACCCAGAGTTCCCAATCCGAATATCATGCTAAACATCCAGAGAAGAAGACTTTATTTATTTATTTATTGCATTTATATCCCACTTTTTTTTCCTTTCAAGGAACTCAAGGCAGCTTACCTAATTCTCTTCCTCTCACTCTTAGCCTCACAAAAACAGTCTGTGACTGGCCCAAAGTCACCCAGTTGGCTCCATGGCTGTGTGGGAATGAGGACCCAGATCTCCTGAGCCCCAGCCCTGCACTCTTCGCCACGACACCACACTGGCTCGCCAGTGAGTTGTTGGCTTGCTTACACTCACCAGAAGGAGAGGCCAAGTGGGAGCAATCAAGGCACACGCACCAGCATGCTCACTCTCGCATAATAGCCAGAATCTTGGAAAGTCCGGGCTTATCATGATGACCGGTCTGCACCATTGTGTAAATGCTGTGGCCATTCTTAATCTGCAACATGTGACGTGACCCTGTGTCGCCTGTGCCTTGAATCACCTAACTTATTGTCATATAGTAAGAAAGACCCCATAATCCCTTCTGTTTTCTGGTTTGTCTTAGAATATAAGGGATGATGAGAAATGTATTGGGTGCTTGTGATTCCTTACTCACAGTTACTTTTCCTAGTTTGCCTTTCTTGCTTTTGCATTACATAACCTCTAGGGAAATATTTTCCTACTTGTGTAATTGTGATAGACCACTGTAGCACAGTGGCACCTTGAGGTTATGTAATGGAAAAGCAAGAAAGGAAAAGCTCTTTGTAGAAATGTTGGATCTCAGTTCTGGGATGAAAATGAAAGTAAATACAGCAATTGACAGCCCTGGGTACAGAGCTTGATACTTCTTAGAGATGCTGAAGTGAAATCTCTTTACTGTGCATAAGTCTTATGTGCAATGAGGCACACTCCTTAGTAAGTTCATTCTGAATTGCAACTGTAGTCATTTTTATAGACATTCACCAATTTGAAGTGTGAAGGCATTCTAAACAAACAGTAGAGAGAATGACATAGTGGCACTATTGTGGTTTTATTGTTGCTTATTCCTCATTATGATCTCCAGAGGCTTATCTATATCTGCAAAGGAAGAGGCACTGGAAGGACTCTACCATTAAGCACAATGAGGCAGTCATGTCAGACAGCAGGTGCTGGGGGGCTGCAGCGTGACCCTGGGGGAAAGAGCCCCAGGACCAAACTGCCATCCCATCCCAAAGTCTCGTGGGCTTTGGTACATGGAATGGATGGGGTCACCTTGTTCTTGTTCTTCCCTGGAGGCAGCAAAACATCCTGGCCAGACTCTTGATTCAGAGAACCACTTCATTCTGCCCTCCTCAGTAGCCATTCTAAACCCACACCAAATATTATTTCACAGTTGTGGTATTTGTGTTGACAGGCTCATGGTTTGCGAGAAATCCTTGGCTGACTATTTAGATGCCAAGAGACTCATTTTCCCAAGATTCTACTTCGTCTCAGCTGCAGATCTGCTAGAAATTATCTCCAAAGGAACTCATCCGAAGCAGGTAAACTTTCCTTTTGTGCAGCTAGACTGCTTCACTCCTTCTTGGTAGTGCAGAACGGAAGCTATCCAGTGATAAACCCTGGCATCCATATCAACAGATCACCAAGCACCTGGTGAAGCTCTTTGACAATATGGCTGACCTGCAATTTGAGGAGGACGACAACAGGGAGACGCACAAGGCCTCTGGCATCTACAGCAGAGAGGGAGAGCTCATGCTATTCTCAGAGTGCTGTTCCTGTGAGGGGCAGGTAAATGCAGTGGTAGGGGGCATGCTGGAATAGGGGTGGCAACAGTGGTGCAGCAGGGTAATTTTATTTTATTTTAGTTATTTAATGGATTTCTATGGGCTCAGTAGCCCATGGGCTCTCTGTGTGGCTCACAATATAACGTGACACATCCTCCTAAAAGCAATAACATGAAAACAGCATATTCAAAACACATCAACCATGCAATCCAAATACAAAAATAATGTATCAAATTAAAATAGAATATAAATGTTAAATTAAAAATGTAAACTGAATTTGACTAAAATAATCATGGGGTCAATTTTAAAATCAGATAGCTCTTAAAATCCATTGTTAAAATAACTGGAGAAAAGGTGAGTCTTTGCCTGGCTCTGGAATGCTAACAGCATCGGCATTGGGTGCACCTCTCTGGAATTTAAGATTTTAGATCTGAGATTTAACTATCATATATGGGGTGGTGGTGGAGAATTAGACTGCCACATGCATTGGACAAGTAACAGTTATCTTCTCCTACCACCCATATTCCACTCGGTCCTTCACAACTGCTTCAACACTTTTGGTATGTTGGAAGAACAACAACATGATTTGCCAACCCTGTGTTTTTTTCAATCCTTCTGAGCATGGGCAGTTTTGCATGTGACACCTCCTTAAATCATAGCCCCATCCTGACCGCAGGAATAAAATGGAGCTTGCTTCACTGTCCTGATCCCTGCATCACCTGGTGGCATCTCTGGGGGGGGGGGGGGCATCTGGGAGGGCTTCTCAACATCCATCTCTAGTTGTATCTCTCTTGCTGAAGGTAGAACAGAGGAAAGCTATGGGCGAAGATCCCAAGCAGGGCTAATGCAGGAGGGTCCTGGGCCAACCCAGAAGGTACCCACCCTGTCCACTGTCTGTCCCAGGCTGCAGGTAACTATTTTCTGCCCTTGGCAAGCCTCTGACTGCTCAGATTTATCCTGACCTATCAAAGCCTTTCAAAGCCCCTGGAGATTGTGGTTTGCAAAGAAGGGTTTGTTCCCTCCTTTCCATAGCACAATCCTCAGCTTTCTTTGAGGAAAATCAAGTTGTCCCGACTGGCCCCTCAGTTTGGCAAGTGGCTGCCACTAAAATACCCTTTTCCACATGATTCTTGCTTTCTTAGGGTGATTCTTATGTCTCCGGGTTATCCATACTATCAAAGGTGAGAGCAGCCTAGGTCCCTACCCCATTGCTTGGACACACTTGGAAAGTGAGTTCTGTAATTTTGGCATAGACACAGTGTGTCTCTCAGCAAGTATACCTGACAAAAACCGACAGTTTTGATTTGACAGCCAGCTCTCACTCTCTCTCCCCACAAAGACATTTTTAAAAGAGAAGACAACCCACAGTGAACATGAAACAGCTGACAGCAATGGCAGGGAGGAAGGGGAGCCTTTGCCAGCCAGCCCAAGCGCCACTGACAATGGCACCCACCCACTAGGTGCTCGGCAAGGGTGGCAAGCTATTTTTCCCCACTTCTCAAGCAGCTCATTCACATTTGGGCAGGACCCACAAAAGGACACGTCATCCTGGTTCGGATGACTCAGTATGTATCAGACAACCTCAGCTACAAACCGTGGGATGTCAGGATGGCTTCTAAAGTCAAGAACCAGTCATAGGTGAAACAACTCAAGCCATAAGCTATGATTTTTCAGAGTGATTTGGAAGCCAACAATAAGCCCTGCTGGCATCTTCATTCAAGGCTTGGACATGGTCACCTATTGTGGGTCAAAGAATCCCAACTACAAGACAAAAATGTATGGAGATGGTGCACACCTATGTTTGTGAGTGTATTTGGGCAGACTGTCTTAGAAGAGGCATTCCCTCTTATGTGTGAGCACTGTTTCAAGATAGGGCTTGCTTCCTCAGTCGCAAAAGATACTTCTGCTTCTGTAAGTATATATTTTATCTATAATTATATATTTTATATCTTTGAGATTCTGCTTTTCTTGCAGCCTGTCAGAGCTTCTTATACTCCTCTCAACCTAGAGGAAAGGGCTAGAATTTCACCATCCTGAAGTTTTCCTGCAGCTCCCAGCATTCCAGACCATTATCCATGCCAGGTAGAGCTGAAGGCCAAACAGCTGGAGGATGCCAGGCTGGGGAAACCAGCTGTAGGTTTTCCCTCAGTTCACAGAGATCCAGGGTATGATGGGAAGACAGAGGAGGATTCTCTTCCTTCCTCCACTGTATCTCTCTTTAGCCCATTTAGGAATCACCCACCATGAGATTGTGTCTTGCTGCTCCAGCCGCAAGCATCTCCTGCTCCCTCAGTCATCCTTCTCAAGCAGCTGTCTTTTCTCAAGCTGCATACTCTCACCCCCAGCCCTGCCTTCTTTCGATCCACTTCCAGACAGGACAGAAGAGCAGAATCCACCTGGCTCTCTCGACACACACACACACACACACACACACACACACACACACACACAATCACTTGAGACATTTCTGAAGCAATTAATCTAACTAATTAACATTGGCAGCCCTGTCTTTATCCCAATGAACAAGAGTCCGCCTGGCTTTTAAATTAGTGGTGTGCTAAGTAAATGAATACAAAACACCGCCAGAGGAGTGTAGCCTTCTGCCTTGGGTTGCGACACTTGGTATGAGGCAGGGATAGGCAATCTATCGCCCTGTGCCCTCATGCAGCCCTCAGCCTGACTTCAAAAGCCTTCTTCATGCCATCTACTCTGGCAAGAGCAATCTGTCATTTCCCAGGCAGGAAGGAAGAGGGAGACAGAGGAAAGGTTGTGGCACAAAAGAAGAGGAAGGCTGTCTTTGCCCACCACCAACATGTGGTTCCCAGCAGGTTGCCCATTAAGGAAACTGGCCCTTCACAGAAGGAAGGGTTGCCTGAATGACTGGGATAAAGGTTGAGGAGCTGCTACAAAGATGTCCCTATTTGTTCTGAGATATCTTGTAGGGCAGAGGTGGACAATCTGTGGACCTCCAGATGTTTGATGATAGCTCTCATCATTCCTGGCCACTGTCTAGGGGCCACACTGATGGGAGATAGCTGGAAGACCACGTGTCACTAACCCTATTGAAGAGGAGAACAGAGAAGAAGAGAATTGAGTCAAAATAATGATTACAGCTGGGCTCTGCACCAGTGCCAACTCTAAGACCCTCAGAGAAGCCACCTCCATGGGCCCCCTTGTTCCATGGGTCGACCATCTCACTGCCACTGCCGTCAACTGCACTTTCTCTTGCTATTCCTCTGCCTTCTCATCATTGCCAGCACTTGCTTGCTGGCAGGCAGAGAGCAAGCAAGCAAGGAGGCAGTGGCAGGCACTGCTTGTCTTTCTCATCATCACTATTCCTGGGCCCGGGTGAGTTGCAAGTGGCCAAGCGAGCTTCAGTGATGAAGAGCAGCAGCAGCTCCAGGGGAGCTGGACGTGGGTCCAGGCAGTCGCCTGACCACACTTACTCTTTGTGTCAGTCCTGAATGGCAGGACTGTGTGCACGACGTGGCAGAAAAACACAAAATAAATGGAAATCTGTGAGTTGTCCTTAACGTTTGTGCGCAATTTCCATGCTGCAGGCAGAATGCTGGTTACGCCGATTGGAAGACACTATGCACCTGACGGTGAAGCAGAAGATCATGGAAGCCATGGGAGCCTACGAGGATAAGCCCCGAGACCAGTGGCTGTTTGATTACCCAGCCCAAGTGGCTTTGACCAGCAGTCAAATCTGGTGGGCTGCGGATGTCAGGATTGCCTTTGAGAGGCTTGAAGAAGGCTTTGAAACAGCCCTGAAAGACTACAACCGCAAGCAGGCAAGTGCAGCAGCCCTTGAAAGGGGGAAAAGGAGAAGGGCTAGCTACTAGGAGGGCCATCCCTCCTCCGTTCTGACTCAGCAAAGGTTTAGATTTCAGAATGGTTTTGCTAGAGGCCACTTTGGACTGAGGAGATCAGGAAGGGCCCAGCCCATGCTGCAAAAGGTGCGGGGGGAATCTGTGCTTCTGGGCCTGGTGGGGGACCTGTGACCCTCCCAGATGCTGCTGGACTCCAACTCTCATCAGTCCCAGAGATGGCAAGGTCTGGTGGGAGTTGAATTCCACTACAGCAAGAAGGCACTGGGTTGAGAAGGGCTGCAGTGGAACTTTCGACCCGTGACAAAGGTGATTGCAGGGACGTTGTTGCACTGCAGGCCCCAACATCCCTGGCCTGGTCACTGACTGTGCTGGCTAGGGCTTATGGGAGCTGGCATCCAGCAAGACCTGGGGCCACTGGTTTCCTGCACCCTTGACCCGAAAGCGTGCACACCTAGGCATGGCCTTGGGCCTCCTTACTTACCCTACAAAATGGCCAATGCCTGCATAAAGTCCTTGCATGCTGCTGTGCCATGATTCTGGCAGCCTTCGTGTAGCCTGGCCGGCTGGTTGGGATCGAGGCACAGCAGCCCATTTCCCAATCAGAGGAGGCACCCTCAAGTGTCACGCTGGGCTCCTTTCACCCAGCCTGCTAAGGGCTCTTCCAAATTCCATGTACTTCTTTAATTTGGTGGCAACCAGAGGGACTTATTTTTTGGTATTTGGAACAAGTAATGTATTATTTAGCATCAGTGCTTGTTAGGGTAGCCAGGTATCCAGCTTTACAGAGGACAATCCTCTATTTGATGGAGTCTAGTCTAAGTCTGCACTGAAGACAACAAATCCTAAGAAATTAGAGTCTTAAAGTGGTCTTGAAGTCTCCCATCAAGAGTTAGTAAACTGGACAACAGATTGAGCAGAAACACAGACAATCTGGTCCCAGTCTTCATTAATATGGTGAGATTAATTGTATTCTATTTTAATTATGGTACTAATCTATACACACACACCCATATATAACTGTTATGCAAAGAGGTTTCCATTTTCATCCTCTTTTTGGGTGATGCAGAAATGGCCACCCTAATGCTTATTGTACAGAAATCCAAAATACAAGAACTGCAGCACCTCAGTTGAATTTGCTTTTCTTTTTCTCATCAGGAAGACTTATTGCAACATAATGGATGAATATAATTCCCCCTCCCCCACCTCTTTCCCTGCATAGATTAAGGAGTTTAAATAACAAAACCCTATTTAGCTATTTTGATACTCTTTTTGCCCTACATATTAGATGTGTTCCATTAAAACTCTTAATAATTTCATCACTTTTAAATGCTAAAGCAGATGCAATATAAATGAACCTGTACATCAGTATTTAATTCATATTGAAGTAAAAGTAATGGCCACTAGCTGAAAAGTGTATCTTTGTTATTAAGGAAGCAAATTGCAATTATGAGAAAACAATACCATTATTAGTTTGCAAAAGTTATTTGTGTTGATTAAAAGCACCAATAAGTATGGCTTGCAACCAGAACTGCTCCATTTAGCACTTGACATATAATAGGGTTTTCCCTTCACAGTGTAATATCTCCATTGAAATATAATTATTTTGCAGATTGCTCAACTGAACGCCCTTATAAACATGCTGTTAGGGGAACTCACCCCTGGAGATCGTCAGAAGATCATGACAATGTGCACAATTGATGTACATGCTAGAGATGTTGTAGCCAAGCTTATAGCACAGAAGGTAATTTGTTGCAGAGCAATTACCCTAATGCATTTTTAAAAGCATAAAGAATAATTTCATTTGTTGAAAAGATATTCGGGTTGCTTATGTATAATGATGACAGAATATTTTGATTCAGTCAATTTCTGTCCTTTTTCTTTGGCTTCAGACTGTAGATAATTACATTTACCAGTTTAAAAATGCTATTTAAATATATACAGATATATGTGTGCGTATTTGTCCAAATGTTTAAAGTGTCTATTAAAACTGTATTGCTATAGAGTGACAGCAGGTTCTCAATGATCTGTCCTAGACCTGTTAGATGTTACTATGAAAATGTGCAATTATTACAGCTGGCTTTGCAATTTAAATCGTACAAAATACTGTAATTGTGTAGTAATTTTGCAGAGTACTTCTATTTATTTTATTATTATTATTATTTTGGTATATTAATAGTTTTTATTTTTTCCCGGGGAAGGATGTTATGATAACACAACAATTCCTCCTAGGTCTCAATGGAAAGATGTGGCCCTTCTGTAGCTCAGCACAGAACTCATGCCATTTTGTGCGCAGAAGCAGGGGTGGTCCTTCCAGGAGGCAGAGGAAACTGATCCTTGGCGGGCAGAGGGGGCATCATTTCAGCGGTTCCTCTGGAATGCTCCAACTGTTCCCCTCTGTTGCAAAGGGGCCCCTACAATAAATCTGCCCTCTCCTTCTGGGTCCAACCCACCCCGCTGCCCAGAAATGAAAGCGATTGGAGACTACTGTCCCTCTCCTTCGTTCTTGTCACCACATGCATGCTTGGAGGTGACAAGTGTAAGCAGCAGTGTAGAGAGGAAAAGGTCCAGGGCATCATCACTGGTCCTCCTCTTGTTGCAGTGGCCCCCTGACGTCAACTTACAATGGCATTTCTGGTTAAAAAGCTCTCCAGTCACAGAGCTAGAAACTGTATTGTTATCAGTTGGAGCAGCATTCCTGGATTTGGAAAGGCAAGAGCTGCCTCAGTATAATAGTTGTATTTTGGTGTTTAATGGTGATATGGACAACACTGTGAAGCTATACAGTATCTATAGAAAATCTGGAAGATGTGTGACACAAGGAAATGTTATAATAATTATAATAATAATAATAGGATTGACAGCCTAATGTGATATTTCTATATAATAGTTTGTGGGAGGTAGAATGTTTGGATGTTTTGCTCCTTGAAAGCCGTATGTTCACTCAAGAATTGGCCTAAGCCAACTTTTCCAACCTTGGATCCACAGGTGTAATTGAACTACATCACTCACTGTGGGCTGCATTGGCTAGGCATGATGTGAGTTGTAGTCCAACCGCATCTGGAGACTTGAGGATGGGAAAGGCTACACCAGGATCAAGGGATTATAAAAGGAGAGCCAGATAGCAGGACTCACACCTTCAGAATTCTAAATCTTCTGTAGAGGAAACCATAGAGTCTGAAAGTGTGAAAACTGGGTCCCCATCACAGTCTCTGTCATTTACATAAGGCTCAAACTGGGCTTAGAGTTTAGGCCGTCACTCTGCAAGCTGCAAATCAGATGGCCTGTTGCAGAATTTAATAAATGTAGGGATTGGGTTCACTCTTCCTACAAAAGAATCTGCAACAGAAGAGGAAAAGCGCTTAGAATTTGCAGCTGAAATGCCAAGTCCAGTGGAACCAGAAATAAGCCAGGTGAGCACTGAGAATCAGTCAAGTTCAATACTTGCATCCTTAATCTAGCAAGAGAAAATACAGACCAGCTGCAAAGCATCAGACACTCCCAATGATTATCCCTTAAGCCTGAAGATCCACCCTGAAGGTTTGGTTTGCCCATTTCAGTTTGGAAGGGAGGAGCGGCATTCCCTTTGGAGCAAACTCATCATTAAGCAATGTTTCTCTCAAGGACAGAATTCTTGCTTGCTTCTCTTGTTACTGTTTTTTGCAATACTCTGCATTAATATTTGAATGCTGACTGCCATTACATTACCATCAATCTGATAATTTGATATTTTCACCTCCTTGCGGTGCATGGGTAGCAAAGATTATTCTGTTGTTTGTTTTAACACATCTCAGGTTTTGAATGGACAGGCATTTCTCTGGCTATCACAGTTGCGCCACAGATGGGATGAAGACCAAAACGAGTGTTTTGTCAACATTTGTGATGCTCAGTTTCAATATGCTTATGAATATCTTGGAAATAGTCCTAGGCTTGTAATTACTCCTCTTACTGACAGGTGAGGACTATACCATATTTGAATTGTTTGAAGGGACCATTTTAAAGAGTAAGAAAATAGAGCTCTGCTGTTCATCCACCTGAAAAGTCTTCTGTCTTGCCTCATCATTTAGCCATAAAAAGGATATATTTTAAGATATATATATATATATATATATATAGTAAAATAACAAGATCCTGCAATCTGACAAACAACCTGAATATTAAGAGGGGTTACAGGGAAGGGTAATTGCAGTTTTAAAAAAAATCCACCAGCATTCTATTTTATAATAAAAGATTTACTTTGATTTTTCTAATATTAATAGGATCTGCAGAAATGCTAAATTGGCCCAGAGTTGCTTGTCAACATGAATAAAATGCATATTTTTCTTGAAAATAAAAAGGAAAGTAAATCCCTTAAGCTGCACTCCTATGTCCACTTACCTGGGAGTAAATCCTAGTAACCTCAATGGGTCTTACTTCTGAATAGGCCTGCATAGGATTCCGTGGTTAATTATTTGTGCATGTAATGAAAGCTCTTTGTTGAGGACAAAGCCCTGTTGACTGGCATTCTGTTAAAGAAAACCTCAACAACTGTGCAGAATTCTTAACAGTTGCTGAACAAAAATCCTTTCTGCTGGAACATAATCATTTTGTTGTGGTGCAACGCATAATAGCCGTTGGAAGGGAAAATTTGCAGCCACTTTAAATATTCTTTCTACTGAAATTGTTTATCCACATTGCCAAAGCCTTTAAGGAAGTACTGATCTTTACCGCATTGTTGGGAGCAGCTGCCTCCGTCTCCTGCAGCTGAGTGCCCACTAAGCAGGCAGATGGCAGACAGTAGCTGAGGTGTGTCTGCTGTACATGGGCCCAACTTCCCTTGCTTGCAGGAAGACAATCGGCTGCTGCACTTTCATGATGGTGGGGAGAATTCTCCTCTATCTGAGATGCAGCAAGCCTGGTCTCGAACCATGAACTCCTGAAGGGGAATCAGAGCGAGGTGCTTTTTTAAAATCTCCAAAGAAGCACGTCAATAATCAGGCTGCTGAGCTGTGTGAAAAACAGGGTATTCCTATTAATGACAGTTTGGGATGAGGATTAAGCAAGAAAGTGGATTCTAAGAAGCAAGCAAGATTTTTTTTGCTAAACATGGGACTGAACGTTTTTTATGACATTGGGGCACAGCTAGGGTTGGTCCTTGGGAAGGTCCAGGGCCCCACACCCAGAGGGCCCTGAAATAGTCACCCAGAGAGTAGCAGGTGATGTGGGCATCAGGGTAGCAGAAAGAAATTCCTTCTTTATTTCAAGTAGTCTGAATTTTGCCAGGAATTTAAAGTGCAAAACCGCACATGCTCAGAATGTTTATTTCAAACCAGGGTTGGCAAACAGGTTTGCTGTTGCTGTTGTTCTCATCAGAAGAGATGACCATTTAGGCAGGGATGTAAAATTACCTAGCTGTCCATCGCTGTTATTTCCAGCCTTTTGAGACCCCTTAGGCAAGATACTCTCCATGGCCCACCTCAGTGTGCCCACCTTCCTGCTGACCTGGTCACCAGTTAATCTTGCTTCTCCTCCTCCTTTTCCCCATTGTTACCACTTGCCTGCTTGACAGGCAGAGAGCCACTGATCAGGTAGGCAGGGGGTTCTTGTTCATTTGCCTCAGCACCACCAATATCTAGGCCAAAGTAAGAAGCAGACTGCAGTGGTGAAGACGCTGGGCAACTCCAGGATGGTCTTGTAAGTAGCCCTCTGCTGGAATGTAATTCTCTGGCAGGTGCCCAGTTTTACTGACCCTTGGCACCAGATCCAGAACCACTGTGAATCATAAGGAAAGGACATATGATGCAGGACACAGAGCAGGACACAGAGAGGAGCTCTAAAGAGCTGATCGACCACTAGCTAAAGCAATGACTTCCAGTATCTTTTTGCAGAGCCTGTAGGGAGGCTGCAGCTAATGAGACCAGCTAATTAGCATCACATAAAGCTTTTAAAGAGTGGAACAAGAGATGAAGTCTCTGGATACTGAAAAAAAGTAGTTTGTTCCAAAGTGCATTTATCCCTGTGCATTTCAGCTCTGAGTATATACGGGCCTTCTTCAGGGATCGATATTTCTAAGAGTGACTGCAGAGATCTCTAAAAAAGGCCATGCAAGCAAGAAAAATGGAATACAATGTGGTTTTATCAGGCTTGAAACAAACTCTGTGTGTATCCAACATACCATGTAATATGGACAAGAGGAATAGGGAAGAAATTCCTTTAGTTCACATTTTAACTTCGTGTTCTGTGAACTGAAACTTGGTTATATGTTGATACTCACAGTTATCTAAATTTTGCATAGGAGTTCTCCAGTCAAAGCTTACATGCAGACAATGCATGTATTCAGGAACAGCATTCAAGTATGCACTGTGTTAGGCTTGCAAAATGGTTTGAAGAAATATGTATTTTGGGCAAAATGCATAAAAATGGAATGTACTGGGATAAATTTGCTGAAAAATGCTTATGAATTTTCATGCAAATGTTTCAAAAGAAAACATTAAATTTGGAACAAGGAAATGAAAACTGGAGAAATCTCAAAGTTTGGGATTGACTATTAAATTCAGTTGGGACTGGAAAAATGAGGAACTGAGAGAAACTGAAATTGACAGAATCAGCCATCCCTCATGGGCATGTTCTTCTGCCTTGCACAAAGAGTCTCCAGAAAGCCGCATTTTTGCTACCAGCAGCAACTGATGCTAGCCTGGAAAAGGTCTGTGTGTTATGGAAGAATGACATGATGAGCCATAATGGTGGTGTATGATGGAGAACTATACATATAAAGATAGTGACTATGATCCAAAGTTCCTGCCAGTGGAAAGGAGAAGGACCCATTTCTGTGGATGTCCCCTTCCTCATGGAGCCTCACAGCTTTCCTAACCCGTTTCAGTTGGTTAGAGATACCCTGGAAGAGCATGGAGTTTGCTATTCACTTTGAGGAGTTTCTGGAGAAAATGGGACTGAATGAAAATCATTTCCCTTCTGCCAACAGGAGCCTCCATTGGATGAGAGGCCATTTTTGGTCAGAGAAGATGCCCTTTTGTTGGTAGAAATGTAACTCAGGATCCAAGCTAATGGATGGATCAATCCATGATCAAGTGTTGTCTCTTGATCAGCATCATGTGGAAGACTGAATGGACATTTCTGATGCTTGCTTGGCTTGGGTGGTGTGGAAAGCTTATGGAATTATCAGAAACCCCTCCAGAAGATCAGGGGAATACAAGTGATAGCTGCAAATTAGTGAGTCTGCCTTACAAGCATGGAGAATTGCAGGAAAAAATATTTCCTAGGTGTTCATAAATTAGGAAATCTGAGTCCCATCATAATTGGTCAAAATGAAACATGACCGCAGATATCTGGATTTCAAGTCTGCAAACATGAAAATGTTTGGCATTTTTAAAAGACAAGTAAACCACTGTGACTTTCAGTTTGGGTGTGCCACTTTATAGGTTGTGTTTAAAATGATGGGTGTATTCATATTCTAGGGAGAACAAAACTAAAGTGTATGGCATCTTTGCTATCCAAAGCCTCCTATGTAATGTGTCAGTCTTTATTTAAAGAACATCTCCGAAGAGGAGGATAAGAAGGAACAGTTTGTATTGAGGAAGTTAGTATCAAACTACTGCAAGAATAAGCAATAACTAGATGTCTTCCACTGTGATAGTTAGTTACTCATTTGTTCTACCTCCAAATCCATATCATTTTTGGCATATCAAAAACCGAACTAAACCAAACCGAACTCTTCCTTGTAGTACTGTGACTTGAATTCATAATTCCCTAATAAACTGGGGATAACCTTCCCCTCCAGATCTTTCCTCCTAATAAAAAAATGTGTTGCTCAGCAATTGCATGCTTTGACATATCAAGCACAAGAGCATGCAGTGTGACTATTAGGTTTTTATCGTAGTTGAAATTGTAAATCTTATTTAGAGTGACATTTAGAAAAAACCCACTAAAATGTTTGATGGAAATAAGCAAGTTTTCAAGTTTGATAGACTTATGTTAGCAAAGCAGGGAAAGGAGGTCATGTTTTCAGGCGAAACCTCCTTATGGCTCTTACATGTTGAGAAGTGTGTTAAGCTAGGCCAAACCTTCCTCAACCTAGTGCCTTCCGGTTGTGTGGAACTCAGCTCTCATTGCCCTCAGCTAGAGAGCATCAGGTTTGGGAGGTGTACCACCATCTGGAAGGCACCAGCTTGGAGTAGAACGAGATAGGTCTGCCTCATTCTCCTGCCTTCTTTAAGTTTCACCAACTCCTTAAATTGGAAGATAATAAGGGACCAAGCAAAGAAGTAACAGGAGAGAACCCTCTTAATCCTCAATAGTCAGGTAATTCTGTGTCTTTTTCATGACCCACCTCATGCCACACTGAGTGTAGGCAGAAAAGTTACATTTCCATAATTGCCAAGATAATAACTTTCTCCACACACAAAAAAGGAAAAAAGAAATAATGTCCTGTGCTTCTTTCAAAGTTGTGCATCAGGAAAAACTTTTTCCTCCTTCTTTATAATATGCTGGAACATGTTCGGTGACCTTGAAGAGGAAGGTGCTAGGGACCATTTTCCTTTTCATGATAAAGCCATCCACCTAGTTGTAACTGAATCCCCCATGTATCTTTTCCCCATGCCTTTTAGTGTGTGCAACTTTAGAAGTTTTGAAAAGAACAATAACATTCTTGTACATGACAGAAACAGCTGGTTAAAAAAAAGATCGGAAAGGCTGGCCACTTAAGATTCCACCAAATGGGCAGAGTGACATGATCAATTATATCTTAGTAAAGCTGTAGGATCAATGTGCTGGAGGAGGGAATGCCAGAACAAACGAAGGAGGACACCTTGTGGAGTTTAAGGGGAAAAAAGGTAGAACATCATGATCAGGCAAGGACAAAGGAAATAGCCCACTCCTTCAGAAGCCAATGAAGGCAGACCTACTACCAAAGTACAAGGAGAGTGGGTATACAGTAATAATAATAAGTACTGTAGGGTTAGAGGATCATGTGGAGATGGTCACAGAAGAAAGCAAAGTACCACAGCACTATGGGAAAGGGGGTTTTGGAAGTCAAAGATATCAGAAAGCACACAAAAGACAATCACAAGGTGAAGGAGATGAAGTTCAAGACTGGAGGAGACTAATGAGGAAGAAGAGGCTTTACAGAAAGCAGGATCGACCAAGTGGAGCCCTCAAGCATGCCAGATGAAACAGTGCAGGGCAGTAGCAAAAGTGATTTCTACAAGCTGATGCACAATGCCAGTGGCAGGTAGCCTAGAAATCTGTGTCAAATAAGGCTGAATAAATGTTGGAGGGGAGAAGCCCGAGACATGCTACAGAGGGAATTGGGGGAATCTGCACTGGGCAGCATCGAACAGTGATGTCTGACATACTGGCACATCGCATGATGTACTTACTACCCAATCCAAACTCTTTGTGCTGTTTCTGCCACTATATACCCCTTTCCCCATCAATTATATCACATTTTTGTTGCACTTCTTCCATGCTATTTATTTCATGTGTACTAATAGCTTCAGTGATTGCAAGGAACAAATAGCTGAAAATATCCTGAGATATATGCAGGTGCACACACTCAGAAAAAAATCCCCTTGTTTCACTGGTGCTTGGTCCTGCAAAGGTCAGCACAGAGGGGATTGCAGGAGGTCCTCACCACTGAAGGCAATGTGATTTACTGCTGAGTGTACAAATATACTGGAGTGTCTTCAGCCAGTTCTGATTCTCTAACCCTTACTCTAGCCCAGGGGTCTCAAACTCACGGCCCGCGGGCCAATTGCCGGGATGGATGGGGCACGGGGGAGGGGCTCTGCGGCCTTCAAAGCACCGGCGGCACCCGGGCCGGCCTCCGGGAGCAACGTGGGATGAGCAGCCCACCACCACCGCGGTGGTGGAATACTTGATGCGGCCCAGCCTCACCCAGACTGCCCCCAGGTAAGTTGAGTTTGAGACCCCTGCTCTAGCCCATTGTACAACTGATTCTCCTCCCCCACATCCAAGACCGTAACTATGAGCACTTTAGCTGTGATGCTATGACTATGGGCTCATGGTGAGGACCAGCGGGATGTCAGGGTAGGGTAAGTTGAGGAGAAAGCATTGGCATCTAGATTAGAGGGGACTCTTGAGTACAGCAGGCATGCTGGAAGAAAAGACCCTGAATACTGGCCTATTCTATATCAGTCCTCCATCCATCCCTAGATTCAATAATTTCCATAATGTGCAAATATGTGTGTGTTGATTCCTTACATGGCATTGGCAGGCCTCCTATATTCCATGTTTACCAGGTGCTTCACATGACACAATACAGCGAGATGACTGGAAAGAAGAGCAGAGGGACTTAGCATGTGAATCCCTGGCATCTAGTAATCCTTGCCGGTCTGAGCATTTGGTGCCTGTTATCTTCCTTGAAATAGGATCAAACAGCAGCAATTTCTTAGTGCACTTAGTAGCACTAAACACCAGCTCATGAAGTATTAGCTAACAACAAATGCATGTGTTGATTCTGCTCAGGCTGTGCTTGCACCCCAGAAATTGTGCCACCACAGCCCTGATGAATAAGAACTGCCCCTGCAGTCCTGACTTGAATTGTTGTGATTCACCAATCCCTGCACCCAGGGGTAGGGGGATTGGTTTCCTGAGCATGTCCTTGAATCTAATTCAAATCTGATGGATTTCCTTTCCCCAGTACTGCCATCGCTGCCTACGGAGAACTGCTCCTTCACTGGGCAATCCCACCAATGAGTCTTCTTACTTATAGCACATGCTTGTATTTCAGGGCCTAGGGAACTTGGTCAGTATAACGCAGGATTCCATGCTGACTCTTCTTGCTTCCACCAGTCGCTGGAATACTTCTACCCGCCCCCTCCCCCACCCCCCAAGTAGCTTGTTTAACAGGCTTAGGTGTTGCACAATTGCTGGCCAGGCAGAATTTACTTGATCCAACCCTATCTAACAATTCAGAGCAGTTCTCTTGCACTCTTTCTTCCCTCCCCTTTCAGAGCATCCCTAAGCAGCTACCACGTAGGCCGTGGACCCTAACCAAACAAGGTCTCAGGCCTACTCAGAGGCCACGCAAACTAAACAATACGTAACAATAGCCATTAAATACAGGGCCTTTATTCACAGACCCCAAATCTGTGGAGGTGTTTACTATATTCTTGGAAACCCAATAAGAGTAAATTAATCAACAATCAGTCATGTTTCTAAAACCCGGATTGCTTCTAGGAATTACCAGCACTTCTGCATGTATTCACTCTTAGTCTAATTGGAGTCCCCCCTGTTTTGGTGAGCTTGCCTAAGTAGATGAGTAATATTGAATATGACCCAATGTGGCCTTAGGCATAAAGTGATGGCTACTTCTAATATAATTTTTGGGAGCTTTGCAAAGGCACATGACGTATGTTTCTGTTCCTCCAGATGCTATATTACATTGACACAGTCTCTTCGCTTGGGTATGAGTGGTGCGCTGTCAGGCCCTGCAGGAACAGGGAAAACGGAAACAACCAAGGACTTAGGCCGTTCTCTTGGCATGATGGTCTATGTTTTCAACTGTTCGGAACAAATGGACTATAAGGTACTGTGTCTGTTCAAATATTCTTAAGATATTGCTTCCTGGCAATTCATTAAAGGGCAATGGTTCAAGTAGGTCAGCTGTGTGATCTAACAAAATGAGACTAAGGCTCACATTTGGAAATTATTGTGGAATGGTGAAAACAATACACCAAGAGCAACTTTCCTTGATCAAGATGATGATCATGATTATTTGCAGGAATATTTGAAAATACTACACAGTTACTAGTCCTTTAAGTCACACGGCAGATGAGTTGCAGATTAAGCACTTGGGTAAAATGGTACTGCTATTGCAAAGGGAACTGGGATGTAAGAACCTCTGTTCTGAACTAACCCAGATGCAGATTTGGACTTGTCGATCTTCCCAATGTATGGCTGTGGCAATGATAACTCCGGGGCTGCAAGGAGCCCTTCCCTCCCTCCCTGTAACCTAAGCTGTCCCCTGCTGCTGCAGTGCTACTAAAATTTACTGAAGCAAAAGCATGGGCAATTTTCCACTTAACATGTGCTTGTGTGTTTTGTTGCTGATTTTTGGTGGCAAGCCAAAATGGGGTGGGGGGAGGCAGAGGACAGTGCCCTGAGTGATGTGGCCATAGAGGACTTTGGGAAGGAAACTGCCCCTTGGACACCCTTATGGTAAGGAATTGGCTGCTCCCTGAGCCATGATTTTGCCTTGTGCCTCCTTCCTTCATCTGAGTCACAGTTTTGTCCCAACGTTTTAGTAGGAAACAGAGAAGATCCTACTGGTTTCAGGTGTGTCTGCACCTGCCACAGTACGTGAGAGTAACCTAGCCTGGAATGTGTGTGGCAGGGTTTTTTGGAGGGTCTGAGGCTGATACCACTTAGACTTTTTCCAATCCCCTGCTGTCCCTGGATGAAATATTAATAATAAAACATGCAATATTCTATTATTCAGTTTGTGAGGTTTTAATTTTAACTGCTAATGCATTTTCCAATAAATAAACCATGCTCCTTATACAGGAACATCTTTTGCTGGAATGATATTATTAATCATATTCAAACTTGTGGGATAATGGTATTAAAAGCATTCTGATAATTGAACTAACATTCACTGAAACAGTATTTTAAGTTAGACTAAGTTGCTGCAGATTCATGTATGAAATAATTCCATTAAGCAAGCCTGCACATAGGAGCAATGTGCAGATACATACATTAAAAAGAGTTGACTAATATGATAAGGGAGATTATATGAGAATATCAATTAAATAGGTATACCCCAAGTCCTGTTAATTGAATTCTGTTAATTAATTCCAAAAATTTACAAAGCATGAAAAAATTTGCATCTTGTATTTTGAATACAAAGGTGAGCCGTATTGGAGAACTGAGGAAGCTGCATTCTCTTCATTGCCAAACCAAGAAGGGCTGTGGTGGGGAGTTTCTGGTCCATACAAATCATCCACAGATAAACACGAGCTAATGCATCATTGAAGGAGGACCTTCTGATACGTTTACAGAGGACTAGGCAATGTTTGCAGTTGCATTGTATTTGGTGAATTGAAATCTGCATGAGAAATAAGACTTATCTAAAAGAAAGTCCATTATTCATAAGGAGGAGATGATTGCATGAAAGTCCACTCGGTATAATGGAGTAGGATCTAAATTAAAGAACACAGCAGCAGAGCTGTCTCTACGGAGGACCCTAATCTGAGTTGTCCCTTGCTGCATTTATGGTCTGTCCTCTCTGAGTTTCTTCTACCACCATCCTCTTCATTCTTTCTACCAGAGTTGTCATCTCTGTTGAAGCCTTCTGAGTGCCTTGAAGCAGCCGGTGGGTAAACAAGCTGTCAGTGTTATAATGAGCAAGGTGCTCTGGACAACCAGTTCCGAAAGCTTATCCTCCACCCCTCACTGCTGCCCTCTGCCAACAGTATGCAGCTCTTCCCATTTCTTTGCTCCCCTGCTTCTTGCATGTCCCAGCCATAAACCTCCAAGTGAAGACTCCTTTCCCTAGACTTCATATCCATAGAAGTACTTTTTATATATGATATATATCCAGTGAATGAAATACAGCGGAAGAGCTGGCCCTCCAAATCAGTGCTCATTATGCATTTGCTATTTAAAAGCACACACCCAAAAATCCTATACTGAAGTTCACATTGTTATGAAAAGGAAAGTTTGTAGTGTAGTGTAGTGCCAAATTCCTAAATTTAACATTAGTCTGCTGGCAAACATTAGCGGTAGAGAAATGGTTTCCCATGGAATCAAGTAACATTTGTTTGCTTATATGCTGCTCTTCCTCATAAATTCCAGTGAAGACATACAACAAAAAGAATTTGAAGGAAGGAAACATGTGGACAATCTGCTGTCCATGCATACTGATTACTTTACCAATTTTTTTCATTCAAAATCAGTGTGACCATGATCGAATGGAGAGGAATTAAAAGCAACATGCAGTTCCTGTATCCATTTTTTTCCAGGACAACATGGGGAAAAATGCATAGAGAAACAAGAAATGTAGTATGCATATTTTTTTTAGCCAATATTATTAATTAGATCACATATTGGGGAACACCTATGATCATCCCCCAGACAATGTTGGGAAGCCATTTGATTGCATCCTTATATAACATAAAAAATCTTTTTATTTATTTGTAGTTGAGTTATTGATGCACATACTCATTTATTACATTTCTATTCTGGCCATGAGTTAAAGCTTTTTGGACTGGCTTTCTGGACTGTATAGAAGAAAAGCTTAAAATCATAAAATACAGCAACACAGTAAAACATAATATAAAACTATACATTTAATCCAGAATAAAAATAATTCATAAATAATGATCTAAAATATTATTAGATAATTCACATGGAATTATCTAAAAATGCAAACTTAATTTTTATTTAAATGGAAGAATTAATATCTGCCCCTTGTTCTAGCCTTAGAAAAATGTAATGCAATACAATGGGTTCTTTTTTGAAAGAATTAACCATTCCTTTATATTTATGACAAGCAAATGTCTTTTAAAAGAATGAAAAATATGCAATTGCCTTAAAAGCTGGTGAAGGATTAAAAATCTCAATAACTTTGACTTAGTTTTCAGCAGGTGGATTTCTTTCTTTCTGTCTTTCTGTTGTCTTTCTGTCTTTCTTCTTATAGTCCATTGGCAATATCTACAAAGGCTTGTGCCAAACTGGTGTATGGGGTTGTTTCGACGAGTTCAACCGCATTTCTGTGGAGGTCCTGTCCGTCGTAGCTGTTCAGCTTAAAGCTATTCAGGATGGCATCCGACAGAAGAGGAAAAGGTACGCTGAGAAGGAGATTCCACCCCCACCCCAGGGTCTATGTATTTATTTTGTCTTGCATTATTTAACATCTTACTTTATCACAGTGTGACTTACCTAATCCTACAGATTCACCTTTTTAGGTGAGACTATTGAATTGAAACCAACAGTGGGAATCTTCATCACTCTTAACCCAGGTTATGCAGGAAGAGCCGAACTTCCAGAAAACCTTAAAGCTCTTTTTCGGTAAGTTTAAAACAATCCAATAATCTGCAACATTGCATTGGATCCAAAGAACCAGGAAAAAATAGAAAACATCTGCTCATGCTTTTGCATGTACACTAGGCATGAGAACTTGCACACAGGGTGGCCAGGTGTCCTATTTTATTTTTTTGTTTAGGTTAATCTCCTGCCTTTTTCTTTCTTTTAAAGAAAAAGATGACAAGAATAAAATACTATATTAAAATAGAATAGCTATAAATACAGTGAATGGATACCCACATAAGAGCTTCTAAAATAAAGCTGCTTTCAAGAGGCATCAGAAAACGAGGAAGGGAGTTTCATGTCCTGGCCCCATGTATATGGCAAGGTTCCTTTCTCAGTGGTTTCCAAATGGGCCAGAGCAGGGGTGCATACTCTGTGTGGAACCACCAGAAGAATCCCATCTAATGACCTCAGTGACTGGGCATGTTGATAAGGAAGAAGGTGCTCTCTCAGGTATACCTATGTGCATGTCCAGACTTTAAAATGTATGCTGATTTTTTTGAACCAAGAAGTAAAGCAGGAGCTCCATAACTGCAGATCAGTTTCAAACCCCCCAGCAGATGCCTGAAACCACAGATAATTGCAAACACTACACAATACACATACAATAGCAAGGGTGCACCACAAAATAAACTCAAACTATATACATTACTTTTCCCAATTTCACCCGCAATGCACTACTTCTCTTTCAGGTTGAGATCAGCCACAGTTAACTGAAAATACAGTAACCAAGCCAGCAGATAGAGGAGTCCTGCTGTACATCAAAATCTTTGCAAAGTGCAAAAGCCAGTGGATAACAAAGTTCCTTTCCACACATTAGTCCAGTGGTTATAGATGATGTCACTTCCAGATGGGGCCACTTCCAGAAACACTTAGGTTCAGAAGTTCTATCACCAGCGGCAAGAAATCAGCATGAGCAGTCATTGATTCATATACTGGGGGGAGCTGTGAAAACAGATCCTGTATTATGAACTTCTGCATTTTAATGCTTTTTAATGCTTTTTATCAATTTGACAGGCCCTGTGCAATGGTGATTCCAGACTTTGAGCTTATTTGTGAAATAATGCTGGTGGCAGAAGGATTTGTGAATGCCCGATTGCTTTCCAGAAAGTTTATTTGTCTTTACACATGTTGCCGTGAACTCCTGTCCCAACAGGTGACTGAAGATCAGTCTCTATTTGATGGTTATGTTTTTCAGCCAAATGCAGCTTATTATATTATTTGAAGAGCAAAGTTGTGTACAATAGTAATTAATAATAATAATTTATAAAAATAAAGCACAAAACCACCATATAAGGCAGAATAAAAAGTGATGTAAATCGCAGAAGAAAATCATAAAAGTTAAATGCTGTTACATGCCTGAGTAAATAGAGAGTGAAAATTAGGAAAAGTTCACCTTTGCTGGTTTATCCATTCTTTTACATGTTTTTGGTCAAATAGGTTATTTGCTTTCTTTTTGTCAAACTTCTGTATGTTCAAAAAGAGCACTGCAGGTAGTTTTTATTTGATTTGGAGATGTTCAGGGTACAATGCCAGTTCTACATGATTAAATACATGGACTAATAATCACTCAAATATGTGAAACTTTGCCCTAAGTAATACATCTGAGGAGCAGATCCAAACTGTGATTATGCTTTGTCCAGATGCTATGGCCCAGTTTTAAAAATGTAAAGGTCATTTTGTTATTTTAAGATCTATACTGCACCTTTTCACCTCAGCGGGTTCCCAGTAAAACAATGAAGCAGAATAACAGCTGTTCACTTTGCAATTACACTTCATTTGGTTAAAAACAACCAAGAAAAAAACACACATCTCAAAACAGATTAAATGATTCTATACCATCAGGATGTCTGTAAGGACCCAAACTCAGAAGATGTCTGGCATCCTATGCAGAGCAAGAGGATTGAAGAAGTGATCTTCACCTTTCTGCATGCATTTTCAGTAGACAGCTATTTCCGGCTGCCTAGCTGGGGTGCATCTGGAGTGGAGGGAGGGTAGCTGTAGAAGGTGTGGGATACATTGCACCCTTGACTCTGCAACCGCTTCCCCTTCCCATCCTCGGGAATCCCTCTTTTTCCCCCTCTCTAGAGTCAAATTTCTGAGCTCAAATAGAGTTGGCACTAGCTGCAGGGGCAGAGGGCACTCAGAGTACAGGTCTCAGAACTCTGAGATCAGAGTTCTGTGTTTCCAGCTTCTGGCCTGGGAATCTGTGGTATCCTATGGCCTCCCAGACAATGTCTAGGAACCATAGGACCACTCCTCCCCTTTAACACTCAGTGTAACTAAAATGCCAGTCCTGTCCCATCTGCACTGGCTTCCAGTTGAAGCCTGGGCCCAATTTAAAGTGCTAGTGATGATTTATAAAGGCTTATGACCTGGATATCTGAAGGAGTGCCTCCTTCCATATAGGCCTGCCCAGCCTCTAAGATCTAGAGTGAAGGTCCTTTGGGAGCCCTCTTTGAAGGAGATCAGAAGAGTGGCTATCCAGAGAGGGGCCTTCTCTGCAGTGGCACCTGGACTATGGAATGGGCTTCCCAGAGAAGTGTATCTGGCGCCAACACTTTTTTCATTTCACTGCCAGGCCAAAACGTATTTATTTTCCCATTATTTTAAATGTTAGCAGTGCTTTAAGACTGATTTTATATATTATTTATGGATGGTGTATCTTATTTATTTTATTGTACCTCCACCCTGAGACACTGTGAAGGGCAGGATATAAAAGTTATAAATAAATAAATAAGATTTCAGTCATGTAAGCGTTTGGCAGGATTTCTAACTCTCACAGAGTTGGTTTGGATGCAACATTCCTGATATTTTATTAAGAGGCCAGACTAGTTGAGATTATAAGCTTGCCCAGTGTACCATTTTAGTGTACCACCAGTGTACCTACCACTATAGTTTGTGTCATACTAAATGTGGGACTGCTTGCATGATTGAATTCCTTGAACATAAAAAACTGTTCTAGAGAAGCTTAATATCATGGAAGGCTTAGAAGGCATCGACCAAAGAGAAATATTAACCTACTGGTAAATCTCAGGGGATTTGCACCCAGCAGATCCACAAGGATTTCTGTCTCCCAAATATTTTTTTAAAAATAAGTCACCAGATTATACACATAAAATGCACATAGCTTGAAGTAACTAAAAGTGTTTTTGTGTGCATGTGTGTGGAAAGACGGTGAACTAAATTTAGTTCTAGTAGTCAAACACGTATTCCAGACTTCAGATTTTAAAACATTCTGTCTACCCTTCACACCAGCCCCTAGTTAGTGGATCTCAGTGTTCAAGTGAAACAAAAACACGGTATATTCCATAAGCATGAAATCAGTTCACATCGGGCTTGGAGGACACATTGCTGAAGAAACTAGATAGGCACTTTTAAGCTGCAATCATACGTATCCTTACATAGGAATAATCCCTCTGAATACAGTAGAGCTTACTTCTGAGCAAAAACACACAGGATTGCACTGTTATTTACTGCTTTAAACAAGAAAAGGGGAAAGAGGGAAATTCTTGACTCCACCCAGATATAATTAAGTTCAGTGCCACCAAGTGACCAAACAGTATAATGACATGATTTGCAAAGTTCTAAATTGTCTTTTGAGGTACCTGCTGTTACTGCTAGTGCTGTTGTTTTTGATACAGATGAGCATTCATTCATCCATCCATCCATCTGAACCTCCCATTTGAAATGGTACAGCCCAGGCATAAAGCTCCCTACCTACCTCAGTGAGAAGCAGGCTACGGTTTGGTTGCAATCCTATACGCACTTCCTTGTAAATAAGCCCAACTGAACTCAGTGCAACTTACTTCTAAACAGAGATTGCACTGTACAGAGATCTAAGATTGCACTTATTTGAAGAAAAGGAGGATGAACCATTGTATTTCATGGGACTTCTTAAAATGAATTATTTCAGATGACTCCAGCTCCCCCAACAATGATGGAAGCCATGGCCGCTGGTCAATGACAATGTGAACCATATTAGCAAAACCAATGGGCAGGGAAAATGGGAGTCATGTTAGTATGGGAAATGATTAGGCAATAGGAGCCATGTCAATAGGGCCAATGAGCAGGGATAACACAAGTTCTATTCCATCAACTTCTGGAGAACCACAGGTTGTCCACACCTGATAGAATAATGGGGGCCACAGAAATGCATATAGTAGAAAGGGCTTTTAAGCTCACATATATTTTTTAAATCAGAGGATTTTAATCTGATTTAAACCACATTCTTCTTCAGTAGAATGTGATTATTTACATTCTAGTGTAAGTTGAGTTGTCTAATTATTGGCTAATGTGTGAGAACCACTTTGGACATGCTTAATCATGCCTTTTTATTTTTACACTTTACTCCTACAAGCTTCCATGGTGAATGTATGGAAATGTTAAGCTAATAACAGTATCTGAAGAGATAAAATGCCAGTTATTTTTTAACACATCTATTGCTTCTCTTAGCTTTCTAAAAGAATTATGTGGCAATTACCATAATCTTTTTATTCAAACATTTGTACTCAGAAGTTTGCTTACATTATTTAATTAAGCAATAAGATGTCACAGTCATTGGAGATCTACTAATTATATCTCCCCTCAGATGGTTCTAGGAAGCAGGAAGACAAGGGCTGAATGACACTACTAAATTAGAGTGCATTTATAGAGTACTTGGCCTGGCCTTGTTTGTACCCTTTTACTGAATATACAAAAAACCAAGTTCATGTTGATGATCCAGCACTAAAAGTAATACTTAACAACAGGCTCAAAGATGGCTACACAGATGATTGGATTGCTTGTGTTACTCAAAGGCAGCCACTTGGCCCTATCTACATATTATCCATTTACATTGATTTTATGTACTCAACTGTCAGATACTGGCTTCCTCCCAAGATTTCTGATAACTGAGAATTCCTTTTAAAGACCTCAAGCCCATCTCTCAGAATTACAAGTCCCAAAATTCCCATGGGAGAGGATGTGGTTGTTTAAAAACTCATTTAAGACAGTGCTTTGGGGTATGCCCTGAAATTGCAGTGAGGACACTTAACTGGACTTGGTTTTGCCCTTTATTGAATCTTACTGTGTATCTGAACTTATTGTGCTTTATATATAGCCAGGAATGATGGGGCATAGTTTCCTAATGCTAGATTAGTATTGCGATGAAGCTTCCTGGAGTCTTGTCTTCTTCACTACAGGGACCTCCTCTAATGTTTGGTGTTGTCTTAGAAAGTGAGCCAGGCTGAGAGCAAGTACACAAATGCTCATGAAACCCTGACTGCACAACTGGCAACCTTCTTCTGCAGCATATGCAGCACAACCAGGGGTGCAAGTCCCATGCATGGAAAAGGGATGCCACTTGTGCAGTGTTTACCTGGGCCCGATTCCTGGCGTCCACCCACATGAACACTCTGCATGCTTGCAAAGAAGTCAGACTCGTGGCCAAGAGAAAGTGGACTGAGGAGCCAACCACAGGGAATCCAATGGATTCCCACCCCCAAAACAGATGCTTCACACAACTGTATTCTGGATATTCCAATATCCATGCTGTTCTACATGCTTTTTATTTACCACAAATAATACCGATGTTACCCTCTTGTGTGGGGAAAAGAACCGATTAGATGGATTTTGCTTTAACTGCATTTGCTTTTGAGAAAACGTAGACTGCATTAGAATCAGATGTATGTGTGTACAGTGAGATTGGCGGATGTGACATTCCTCTCTCTGGCTTTTTATGGCAGCCTGGAACTCCACTGATGGAAGGTGTTTCCACCCATTTTAGGGATATTTCCTTCCCCCTCAGCCCTCGAACCACAAGGTTGTATCTTCAGCATGAGTCCCTCAGAACATTTGAGAGAAGGGAAGGGATGCTCTGGCAGGATTGGGGGAGACTAGGGCCTCCAGCCTTAGTATATTAATGTAATAAATAAATAATGATATGGCAACCTAATTTTTAAATTACTTATTTGGGAATAGCTGGTTGACTACTGAACAGATAAATGCCCACTGGAATCAACTGGTATTTCTTCCAGATAAATGTGTATAGGTGTAAATGTGTTGTGTAATGATTAATGAGTTCCATTTAAAATTTGCTTTAGCAGTTCTAGAAACTATGGGAAAACTGTGGTTTGATTGTTTCTCTTCCACAGGATCATTATGACTGGGGCCTTAGAGCTATAAAATCAGTTCTAGTGGTGGCTGGATCACTGAAACGAGAAGACCAAAGCCAACCCGAAGATCAGGTTACCTTTTTATAGTGATGGTTTTTTTAAAAAAAAATCTTGATGTGGATTGAGATGGATTTCCAAAGGACAGTTAATGTCATAAATGGCTATACATACTGTAGCATATTCTCATTTTGTAAGGTGCTCAGGGTGGTATACCTTATACTGCAGCCTTTTTGTATGCCAAGCTAGGCTGAAATATGAGTGATTTGTTCAAAGTCAGCAAAAGCATCATTCATAGCTGGTGTTTTAAACAGATGAAACATACCTGCGTATGTTAAAGGAATACTCTGTCTTTTAAACATGTCAGAAAATTTGGCAGGCATTCCTGCACTGTAGCTAACCTATGGTTTTGAAGACATGGATAATGCCACTCAAAACCCCCACGACCACCATCAGCTCTAATGTATCATTTTCTCATTCAGAAAACTAAGTAATTTCACCACATTGGGGGTGGGGGGATTGTTGTAGCATTGAATTTACCGGAACTAGTCTATGTCACTGCAGGTAGCAGATTGAGTTTAACAAGCCATATGGGTTGTAATTGTTTAAGTATGATTAATTCATAATGTTTGTTAATTTTATGCCTTACATTATGGTTTGTTATTATTTCATTTAATTATAGTGTCATGTTGGTTTTTCTGAAGGTTTTGATGAGAGCCCTCAGGGATTTTAATTTGCCTAAGGTAGTCACTAATGATGTCCCTATATTTCTGGGCTTGATCAATGACTTGTTCCCGTTGCTGGAAGTTCCACGGAAAAGGGATCTGAGGTTGGAACAGCTGGTGCGACAGTCCATTGCAAAACTCCATTTGCAGCCAGAAGAAAACTTTATACTGAAGGTGGAAATAATGGCTTTCTGCTTAGCTTGTTGAAAATTTTAAATGGGGGTGACTGAATGCTATAATGATCACCATTGTTCGATGCCTGTAGGTTCCAACATCTGGCGGCGGCCATTACAAGGTTCCGCAATAAGTGAAAGTGGCTTGTGGGGCTTCCTGTTTCCTCCTTCCAAGCAGCCATGTATTTAATGGCTCTATTTCCACATTAGGAAATAATTCCAGATTGGGGGAATTGATAATCTAATCGCGTGTGATGTAATATATTAGTGCTGCTGATCGTAGCACTCATATTCAGCTTTTGGTGACCTGGATTTTATTAAACCTTAGCCTAAAGGTTTGTTTTAATGGTTTGAGGCCTTCATTAGCCTCTTCTAGACATGAATCCCAATCATAAACACACACAAGTAAAAATTAACTCCAAGTGGGCTTTTGTCCTAAGAAAAGTTCAAGAAGGAATAACCAAGGAGACTGACTTTCCTACTTCTGGGAGAAGAGGTAGAACTGTTTGGGTTGCCGGGGTTACAGAGTAGGGCGGAAACAAGTGCATGATCATCACTCTGCTCTCATCCTTGCCTGCCCTTTGAGTGAATGATATACTTGAGATACCAAAGTGAGTGGCCTATTCCAGTTCATTATCACAGTGCTCTAATTTGATTTTAAGGTAACCCTTTTCCTATAAACCTCATTGAAAAAAGTTGAATTATGTACTCTTTGCCCTGTGTGATAGATTACACACACACACACACACACACACACACACTAACGAATGATAGTCTTACCATTTCTTTGCTTTGCTCACGTGTTCTAACTTTGCATGTACAAAATCCCAACTAAGGTAAGGAGGAACACAGAAACTGGAATTGGGTCAAGCCTGTCCCTCTTTAGTTGTATGAATATGCATTTCTACCAGCTCTTAGTTATATGTTCAATTTATGAGTCACTGAAAAGCCAAACTTCTCAGGGAGACATACCTATTTTTTAAAAATCCAACAACAAAACACAGTTTAATGCCTCAACAACACTGTGCAATTGTGTGTTTTTTAAAGAAAGAGCTAAATATCAAAACAGTCCAGAAAACGGTATCAAAGGGGCCATTGCTGCAGTGGGCCTCCTCCTTGGAGACGGAAGACGGAGCTGCTCCCTCAGAGCAGGAGGTCCTGCTGCATTTGCCCCCCCCCCCCCCCCAAGCACAGAGCCCTCCTTCTTGCAGGGTCAAGAAGCTCAGGAAGAAAGGTGAGTGCCTGGAACAGACAAGAGGGCAGGGAGGGGCAAGGCTGGATCCAATGGCGCCAGAGGTCCCACCTCCACCCCTGCTGAGAAACCACGTTAGTTGGGTTCAGGGCCCCATTTGCCAAGAATTGTCACAAAGGTAGACAAAGAGGCAAAAATAGCCTCTTTCTCCTCCTCTGCCTCTTGATAGAGGAGGGGCTACAACATTTAGGTGCCTAGCCCATAGGACTGCTTTCTAAAATATATGATCATTACAAATAAAACAAGCAGCACTCCCCCCCCCCACCCCCCCCCCCCCCAAAAGATAAAGGCTGGGAAAATAAAATAGTATTTATTTGGTGCTGAAAAGTCAACAAATCAGGAGCTGTTTCTGGGAAGCGTGTCCCACATTTGAGGGCTGCTACTCAGATCTGGCCCCAGATGATGTTTTCAAAGGCATTTCCAAAGGATAGGCATGTAAAAAATATACCAAAGAAGACAATGGAATAAATCAACTAAAATAAGTAACACAGGAATATTGTAAGCACACATGCAGCTCAACCTGTACATGTGAACTCAGACATTACTCTGTCGCATTCAGTGGGACTTCCAAATACACCCTGACATATGTTCTTTAATAAGACATCAGAATAAAGCCATTGTATATAAAACTCCTTGCACTTCAGGTAAGCGTTTTGGTAAATTCTAAAAATCTTGACCTGAGGCTTAAATTAAAAGCCATGAAGTCAGCAGAGTCTCCCACTGGAAGGTGTTTCATAAGTCCCGTGTCACCCAGTTAATATGCATGAGCCAAGGCAGAACTAGCAATAAATCGTGACACTCACACTGTAGGTTCAGATTTTCCTTAAAATAGATTGAGCAAGGTTTACCCTTTTAGTCCCTTATTTCTCCTGCAGGTGTACATGAGAAAATAGTATGAGTACAAGTGGTCTCTGCTGAGAGATCTTCCTTCCTTCCTTTTTCATTTTACCATAACGAATGAAAAAAAAAAAATTAAAGAAGACAGTCCCTTCTATCAATGCTTTATTGTTTCAAGTTACCTAAACTGCATTCATTATCTTCAGTGAGGCCCATATATTGAAGATTTCATCCAACTGCTTAATGTACTGATTAATTAAATATAAATAAATTTGCCTATTATGAAAGCTCTGTTCACCCACAAGCTCCCTATCCCTGCTTTTCCTTCTATGTGGCTAAGAGGAGTTCTGAAGCAGCCCTGTGTGTTCACCACATTTCCATGTCATCCAACCAGAAAACATGGTTAATTCAAACTGGGGTTACTCTAACCATAGCTTCTTGTTTCATTTATTAACTCACTTCTGAAATCCTTCGTCTGGATGTCTATCTCTAATGTACTGAACAGGGCCCAAGCAAGCATCATTTTCGCAGTCAAGTTAGAAATATGTAGAAATAAATAGGGATTTGTAGCACGGGCCTCCTCCCATATACAGTATATAATTGAATAGAAGAAAAGCTTCTGATTTAATGTTCAAATTATATTTTGTTACATTTCTGAATTGCACCATGGCCCATGGGACTTTTCTCCAAGTCTCCCAAACAATGATGCCTTTTCTTTAACATAAAATCCGTACTGAAAAAGAGTACTCAAAAGCTTGCAGAGTCATTCTTGTGACTGCCAAACTGAGAGGAGCTGGCCAGCCCAGTTCCAGCTTAAAGGTGCAGAATGGCTGCCCATCAGCGGACTGCCCAGGCAGGCCTGCAGGTCACCTGGTCACAGTCTTTCCCGGTATGGTGAGATGCACTGTATTTCTGTTTAAATTAGACTGATTTTATTATTGCAGTTTTATGATTATTATTATTGTGCAACAATACAATTAGCATGTCATTATTATTATTCATGCTCCCCTTTTGGAGGGATTTGTTCTCTTTTTGGCCTCCATAATTGGCCACCTTAGCTTGGTCAAAAATTGTGTTGGCTTGTTTTGCACAGATCATTATATTATCTGTGCTGAGTGCCTTATCTCAGTTTTAACTTTCCAGCTATAGCTGCTGAAACTAACACCATATATGTCTTCACCTACATGTGCTTTAAAAAAAATAACTCTTACATCTGTGCCCACTGCTGCAAAAACACCAACCCATAATGGGACAGTCCTCTGGTCCATTATATACCTGGAATCAGGGCTGTTCTGGAGAAAGTTCAACCAGCGCTGCTACTAATCCTCTTTTTCAGCCCCTGATTCTATGATCACATGGGGATCTAACCCAGCTAGTATAAAACTGACTCATGGTTTAATGTCTGTGGAAATACTCCATGACTGCAGGGAAGCAGAGGGAAACAGGCAATATTTTTCAATAGAATGAAAGAATAAAATAACAGTGATGTTGACTGAAATAGGGGAGAAATGTGTTGTTTGATTTATTTGCAGGTGGGAGTTGAGTCTTTCAGTTTTTGTATGCCATAGTGATGCCTATAAAATATGTTTGTCATTATATCAATTTCCTCTTCCTCTTTTTGAATGGCTTTTAGGTTATGCAGTTAGAAGAGCTACTGACTGTCAGACACTCAGTCTTTGTTGCTGGAGATGCTGGGACAGGCAAAAGCCAGGTAAAATTAAGAATATACACATCCCTCCAATAATTTAATAGCAATAAAGAGAGCATGAACTGGTGGTGCAGGTTACAGAAGGTATGCTGCTTTGACTGCAATTCTGCATTCAAGACTCTCCGCATCATAACTACAGTCTGAAATCTGTAGAGCAGCCTGTTGAGCTAGCAAACCTAGAGTGTTTGGCTCTAGGGCTCTAGGGTACCAAGCACCTAGAGTGCTTGGTACACAGTACTGTGAATGTATCAGTCACTGCCGTTTCGCAGAATTCGGAACAGAGCTCACAAATTGCAACATTCAAAAACAAACCTGTGAACAAATGTGTATTTCTTTGCAGAAATCTGATATGGTGAATTAAATATTGGCATTCTCTGTGATGGCTTGGATGCAGAGATGTGTGAACAGAAAAGCATTTACATATATGCTAATAAACCTTGCCAATTTCCTCCAATTTCTCGGTCCTGCATTTCTCATGCCAAGCTGCTTCAGAGGGCCTGCTGAACCATAGATTTTTAGGACATAAAAACATAAGAAAAGCCATGCTGGATCAGACAAGAAGTCCACCCAATCTAGCACTCGTTCACACAGTGGCAAACCAGCTGCCCACAGGATTCCCAAACCAGGATGAGTACAAGACCTCTGCCTGCCCAGCTCCTCAGCAGCTGGTGTATGCAGGCATTGCCACTCCGGAAAAGGAGGCAGTACAGAGCCAGTAAAGCTAGTTGCCACTGAGAGCCTCCTCCTCCTCCATGAATCTGTCCATGTTGCTGGGAATTGCATTCAGGGGGCTGCGCCTTGGTAAGCAGAAAAGCGATGCTGTGTAAACAGAATGCCACTTAAATGTGTTTGCATCTAACCTAACATACTAGTAATCTGCTAGAGATCCAGAAGAACTCAGTGTATTTTGGCTTGCACCTAGTTTTTTTTTCATGAAATTAGCATTCAATTGCCTAAATCAAAATATTTTGGCTTTCTTAAATATGGATAGAGCTGCCTACAAATCCCAAAGGCTTCCTTAATTATTGAAGCTAATTTTATATGGTAACTTCACTGATATCACATCCTCCAAATCTAGTGCCACATATATCCCAGATATAAATGTTTGTGTATTTTTTCATATATGTAGAAACAAGGCATGTACAACTAAAATAGCCTCTTAATTCCTATATATTCTATTTATGTTCTTCATGGCTGAGGTATTCCGTTTTAAGGCAATAGAAAATAACAAGGAAAAATGGAAGAACTGTTTGTCGTACTGAAAGCCAAGAAAATGACAAAATTGACATTCTTTACACATTCACACAGTACATATTTTAGGTACACTTAAGATGCAGCAAATACATATAAGCATACTTATCAGGGACTAATGCCTGCTCCATGTATATTTGATGCCATTCCCAGATTTAATTCTTCATAATATGCCAGATAGTTGGTACAGAAGATAAGTAATTTTGAGTAAGGCATTTTAACTGATTTAATTATATATGATAAAATGTTCTAACTTTAGATATTAAAGACGCTGCACATGACTTACTCCACCATGAAGTTGCGGCCTCTGTGGAATGATATCAACCCAAAAGCTGTCACCACAGATGAACTTTTTGGGTTTCTTCATCCATCAACAAGAGAATGGAAAGATGGTATTCCTGAGTATTATCCTTGCATGAAAAATCAGATATGTTAATATTTAGAGAACGTATGAACTTTATAGATAATAAAAGCTGCTTTTTGTTTCACCATTTGAAGGTTTATTTTCATCCACCATGAGGGAACTGTCAGGCATTATCCATGATGACCCCAAATGGATTGTGCTCGATGGAGACATCGATCCCATGTGGATTGAGTCACTCAACACTGTCATGGATGACAATAAGGTTTGTGGAAATCAGATTGCTAAAACTGTGCTCTCTTGTATGAATGATGTGTGTCTCATTAGTATGCTCATGACAAGCCAGGTAAGATGGCCGCTTTGTAGATTGCATTCACATACTTAGTAAAAAACTGTTCCACATCTTTGGCTTGTATCATACAGCTGAAACCTGGAGGCCAACAGTAGTTTTGCACAGAGTTTCAAGAGGCATTGTAGCCCGAACACAGTTATTCATATCCTGGTAAAATCCAAGCTGGATTACTTTAATGCACTGCCTTTGAAGATCACTTGGAAACATGAAGTGCTCAAGAATATGGCAATTGTTAACTACGACATAATATTCCAAACAAATTTTGACAATGTTAAAGATCTTCACTGGCTTCCTTTTTGTTTTTGGATGCAATTCAAAATGCTGGTTTTAATCTAAAACACTTCAAAGGCCCATCCATTGCATCTTTATATAGGAAAGCATCCTAGAATTCCTAGTATTCCCAAGCCAGCCATGTATTTGAAGGACCTTACTCTCCTGAATTAACCTTTGTATATCTGGAAATCATCATCTGAACCTTTGCACTGGGGGTCTCGGCCTGGATTTGACGTGCCGGGTTCTTGGGGACAGATGCTCTTCTGTGCCCCTCACCAGAAGCACTCACTTGACTGCAGTTCTTTCACACACTGGCTGTCGAGTTAAATCTGTTCAATTTCCCGACCCTTTCATGGTTGATTGTTTTACTTCTCACCCCAGTGCATCTCTTTTAATCTGGAATATACAGTTTGGTGTCTTTGGGCATTTAGGATTTTTAATTGTGAATTTTATATTCTTTGTAAGCTATAGTAGCACAAAGTAGAAAGGCAGGATATAAATATTTGAAAATAGATGCAGAGGCAATATGTATACATTTATTCTACTGTCATCTCTAGGCAATCAGAGGTTATTATTTATGAAATAACACAGAATTCTGGGAAGAGGTGACAGTGGGGGAAGTCTACCCACAAGGACATATTTTAATTTATCACATTTCACAGTCATCACCATTTGCTGTAGACTGCAGTGTCCAAAAATCCTTCTTACAGCAGTCACTATTCATGAAGCACCAAGTGAAAATGTTTTTCATTGACAAATCTTGCACAAATGCACTGTGATATAATTGGCATTTAAAGGCAATAATAGAATCTCAAAATGACTTTTTTATTGTACAGTAGGTACAAACCCAGCCCTAACCCTAACCTTATGGTAATAATTATTTTGGTAATTATTAATTTGTTTGGGAAAGCAAATGCCTTTTTAACTAAAATGAAATGCATAACAAAAGTGGAAAGGTCATGGTTCGGCCTTGGAAGTGGGAGGAGCAGAAAGCTGAATCATTTTGTAGTAAGTGTATATTAATCATTGATTAAAATATCACCTTCATTCACTACATCATCCCAGCCTTTCTTTTTGATGGATACAACAGCAGGAGAGCAAACTGCTGAAATTGAGATACTTTGTGCAAATTGAAAAGAGATTTTTTGCCCTAATTTTGCACAATGGTAGGAACCTCCTTGAAATCACATTTTCCTAACCAGCTTCTAGAATGGCTCTTGCTGTTAGATTCTAAGGACTCTATTGTAGCTTTCAAGCTAAAGCACTCAGTAGGGGATGTGTAGAGTTGCACCAGCCCTTTGGAGCACCAGAAGAATAGCCTCTGATGGCAAGTACAATCATAGAATGTAAAAATGGATCAGATTGTAACAGGTTATCCAGGCCCATGCTATGCCACTGCTCTGCTGGATCACACAACATTTGCAACGTATTTTGTATAACTGATTTTCCCAAGTGTTGAACTTCCCCATGTTCTGCCATCAAACATTTCTCAAACTCACAGTCAAAAAGATTCAAGCTCATGTAATTTATTGCATTGACAGTCTTCTGAAAAGGTTGTCCTTGGAATCATGGGACTGAATTCCTAGAATAGGATTGAACAAGAATCATTTTGATTGTGATCCTATATCCATGTGACAAGCACCAACAGATTCATTTGTTTATTTAGTGTGGTGGGACAATAACTGTTAGAAGGTTTCCTGTGTTTTAGCTACCCCAAAAATATACTGTGTGAGTCTTATTTTTTCAAAACAGAACCTTAGTGACTTAATTTGAAAAGCAAATGCTTATGGAAGTGAATGTGCAATGATTCTGTCATTAGGTCCTAACACTAGCAAGTAACGAACGAATTTCACTGACCCCCTCCATGCGACTAGTGTTCGAAATCAGCCACCTTCGGGCAGCAACTCCAGCCACTGTGTCAAGAGCTGGCATCCTCTATGTGAACCCACAAGACCTAGGCTGGAGCCCGTGAGTACAGCAGTTTAATCCCTCTTGAACCAGCAGCACTGAGGCTGGCAATGACCTTCTGCTTTGCTGCTGAACTATATTCTTGGCCCAGAAGAAGGCTGGCTAAATGCTCTGTGCCTATAGCTACCATGTGTTCCTCTGCACCCTTCACGGCACCCAATGATCAGCTCTTAACTCAGACCACACTTTAAAGGGGCCAAAACCATTGATGCTGTAAATGCTGCAGATGTAGTCTGTGTGAGCTGTGGGGTGTGAGAAATGAGCTATGGGTGAGCCATAGCCCATTTGCCAAAGAATGGGGAAAGGGCTACGGCCCCATGGTACAGCACATGCTTTACTGACAAAGGGATCCTGGAGGTAGTCTCTGGCATCTTAAAGCAGAATTGGGAAAGGTGCCCATCTGAAGACCTGGATAACTGCTGGAAGCCAGTGTTCACCAGCCTCCCTCAACATACCGTTCTGCAGCTATTTTGGACTCCAGTTCCAACCAGCCCTAGCCAGCATGGCCGATGGGCAGGAGTTCTGATGCCCAAAACATCTGGTAGGTTGGCAAGACAATGCTGGGCTAGATGGACCACTGGCCTCCCTTGGTTTGGGGCAGCCTCTGTGTTACTGTGCTTATGTGGAGCCTCAGCCTGTGAGAGCCATAGGAGAAATCCATCTAGAATGGTCAGGGAAAACCCCCAGATTCTATGGACTGTAGACAATCCTGGAACCCTGTGACCATGTAAAATCACCCCAAATGGAAGAACTGTGCAGGTATGGGCCATGCAAGTGGTCATGATTCCTGTCCTCATTTCTGAATTACATTTGTTGCTTCCTCAGCATCCTTTCACATACCATATACATCATCACCTTTTTCAAAGTCCTTTCACATTACAACACAGCTCTAATTGGTGAAGTTTCAAATGGCAGAAAGGTGTTCCTCTGGAGCAGCCTAGACAAAAATACAAAGCAATTTAATGGCAACAGTAAGACATGGCTGAATCAGAACTGTATCATTGACAGTGCAACAATGTACATCAATTCAACAAGTAAAGGAAACTGAAAAGGCCGAGTCCCATAATGAAGGCATCAAATGGTCCTCTATTCCTCTCACAATCATCCTTTCCCCCCCCCAGCAACAGCACTCCGTTAAAAAAAAACAAAACCCTCAAACACCTTTTGTTTTCATAGATATGTCACAAGCTGGATCGAAACTCACAAAGCACAGTCTGAAAGAGCAAACCTAACCCTCCTCTTCGACAAATATGTTCCTAGCTGCTTGGAGCAAGTCCGATGCAACTTAAAAACCATCACTCCGATTCCAGAGAACAGCATGGTACAGGTAACAGCCACTGCTGTGTAGGATCTTCAGTCTGCCGCTCTTCCTGTGTGTGATTTTGAGAGTGTTCAAGTATGCAGAGCTGGTGTGAAGGGACTTCATTATAATCACAGCATGGTCTTGTGCTTTGTGATTCAAGTAACAAAGCAGGCACAGATCACAGAACTGTTTGCTCCTGGATTAGGCTTGATGTGGTCCTGGGCACTAATCACTCTGAAGTTTGTTTTTTTCAAAAAGACTTCCCTCAGATGATGCTACAGACAAATTGTTGAGGGCTGTAGTATAAAGATTTTCATAAAATATCTATTTTCATAAAATATCTATTTTCTTCAGTGCTTCTGGAAACATAATTTCTCAGGCACAATTTCTTGCTATGCAACCTTATCATAGAGGACTATTCAACACAAGGCATTCGTTGTGTGCACATGATCCCTCACAGAAGTTTGCAGGGCATCTCCCAGGTCTTCCAGACTTTTTATTGCTTTTTTTAGAGCAAGAAATGCCAGCTGTTATTTCCCACCTCACTAGGAAGCTCTACAAAATGGTTGTGTTTTTGTTACAATCCCAACATAGCACAGCCTTGTGAAGAACAAAAAATGTATAGGATGGCAGATCCGCTCTTCCTCCTCCAAAGTACACCGAAGAGGAGGCCACGGTAAAGTGCCAGGGTCAACAATTTGCACAGAGAAGCCCTGAGTGACAACATATTTACACAATCGCAGTTTTTAAGCTGTGATTTGTAAATGTATTTGCAAGCCTTGTTTAAATTAGGATGCAATGATCAATAAGTAACTGTGTTAAAACAGGGTTAACATGTGCCACTTTCTTGGTTGCTAGTATCTATTGTGCTCAGTGGGTTTGCAGTGAAGACACTCACAAAACTGGTCAACACATGCATATTAAAGTTGGATTTACAGAAGAAAAAGTCATCAGCTGGAGAAAACAGAACCACTGTGACTACCAGAAGAGAGAAAGAAAGAGAGCAGGGGAGGGGAGGGGGAGATTGTGTGAATTGGCCCTGAAAATTTGGAGCAATAAAAAACATTAGTCATTATGCCATTGACTGACTTCTGTGGAATGTAGATCACCACATTAATCTCTATAAGAGTTTTGCATCACAGAACAGACAGAGGGTCAAAACAGATATTATTTTAAATCTGTATGTAGTAGCAATGTCTTCTTTTCATTTTTACTATGGAATAGGTACAAGGTCTCTGACCAAGATCTTGGATGCCCCACTACGCTAGGGTCATAATCTGGAATGAGATCCCTTCATCTACCTAACAGTAAAAATAAAGAGAAAAGGAAAAAAGATGCAGCTGCTGGACACAATATACCTGTTTTAGCCAAAGTTATTTCTAACGCAGTGGGTGGTATCTAATATTAATCTTATTTAGAGTGGCACCCTTACAATGAACAGGAGAGAAGACAGACTAACTCGGACACAACCCATTGGGTATAACCCAGGAAGAGCACAGTCCTATGGTCCTGGTGTTGTCCTGGGGACTGTAGGATTATTCAGAGCCCCAGCTCTGGGGTCCTGCAATCTTGGAGCTTAATATTGCCTAACTATTTGGGCAGATTCATGTGAATGCAAGTAACCCCTGAAGTATGATGCTCCCTAGCCATTTTGGTTCCGTCGTGTCAATAATAGCAAATATTAAAAAATGGATCAAGATAGCAAGATTTGAGACCAAGAAGGGGGAATGTTCCTTTGCTTTTCTCTTTTTTATTAAATGGGCCCATTATGAAGAGTACTCCTGTCCTCAGAAATGTGGAGGTGTTTGCTGATGTGCAGAATTCTGCAGCAGGACAGATCTCAAGTGCTTGATCTCAAGTTACTTTAGCAAACAACGGAAGGTACTGCAACTGGAGAGTCTGCAGTAAATGGAGGATTGAATAGACTTTTTCCTTTCTTTCATTATTGTTAAAATGTCACATGCATTTCTGGATGAATGCAAATTTAAGAATGTTAATAATTTTAGATGATGCTTTTGAGTTTTTAAATGTTATTTTGATTTTAAAGCTTCCTGGATCAAAAGATTTCCTATAATGAGAAAACAAAGGCTAGAAATGAAAGCAAATTGTTGTGACTCACATACAAGGGAGAAAAAACCTTTAACTGTCCAGCTTAGATGTGGGTCTTTTGAACAACACAATTACATTGTGTTTGAGTGTCTTTTTCCAGTAATTCACATACTTAAAGCATCTGTGCTTCCCAAGTCATAAAGATTATTTCATTGTTTTTTATTTTTTCTGAACAATTAAAAAACATCTTTATTGAATAATAGTACTCTGATAGATTCTGAACAACAAGAAGATGCTTCCAAGAATGCTGACCGTAGAGTGTGTACACACAGAGAGTGTACACACACAAAGGTGGAATAGGGGCAAACTCTGGAAATGCTGGGAGTGAGGAAAAGGAGAGGGATGGATTGGGTGCCCACCTATGGGGCTGTGAACAGGAAGCCGATAGGTCTATGTGGTGTAGGGGAGCCACTTATTAATCACCAAAAAGAGAAAAAAGGGGACAAAGGTGGACAGAGAGTTACATAACATCTGCATATTCTGATTTATTGGTATAAATGAGACTTCAGAAATAATTGTATTCTCACCATAGTGCAAAAGAAGGTGACCAGGTGACCTGCGAGCCCGTCTGTTCCCTCTGCTTCTTGGGCACTCACTGCTGATGATGCCACTGTGATTATCCTTTATCTTTAAATTGGACTGGGCAGCCCTTCAAATGAAGGATACCTTCACACAGAGGACAGTCCTCTTGCGGCACTTCAAGCAGAAGTCTGTCCTCTGCAAAAGAGAGCCCCTGGCCAGCACGTCTTGCCCCGCTACTCTTCTTGTTTCTCCCCCATATTGGAATACAGCCAGTATCTGCAGCTGTCACCTTTCATACAAGCAACTCAGCCGGTAACTTGATTCTTCCGCATCGTATGCATGCAGGCAGCGCTCATCTGCCTGGTGGGCTCAGGCCTGTATGTTGAGAATAGCTTGAAAAGGACATCGGGCTTTACACGGAAAACTTGTCCCTTTAGAAATTGGCTGTGAGGGAAAGCAGAACCATGGCTCGGAGAAGAAAGGGATTGCACGGCACAGTTGCACTGGCTCGCCTGGTGCAGCCCCAAACCGCCCCCTCCCTCCACCATGGCTGTGCGCCACCCTCAGTGGTGGTGGGTGTCCCCCTTTACCGAGCAGAGCATTCCCTTCCCACCCCAGCCTTGCATACCAGCCATTCTCTGCAAGAGGGAAGCAGCCAGCTGAGCAGCCACGCTTTACTTGTTTAAGTCCACTTGCCCACAGGCAAGATGGCCTCATGAACTTCTCAGAAAGAGGAAATGTGCCTCCCAGAAAGAGAACAAGAGAGGCCAGCCATTTACTTAAAACTTGAATATTCTGACTTATATCTACAGATGCAGCCACTGACATTATTGCAGTTTAGATAGAAATATAGTGTATCTTGCATAGAAGACTGTGACCAGATGCCAGTCTCTTCAGTCTGTTGTTCAGCCACTGTTGATGGTCAGCAGTTCTGATGCGTCTTTCTATTTAAACCAGAACTGGACAGGGCAGCCTTCAAATAGAGGACAGTTCTCTGGCAGCCCTGTGAACAGAGGACTGCCCTCTCTAAAAGAGGACAAGCAGAGCAACCTTACTCACAGACCAGCAAAATGTGGAAACTGCACATGCACTTCTGAGGTGTTTCCTAACACTTAGTTGGAGCATGGTGACCCCATCGATTATGGGTTGCCACTTTCAGGAAAGGTGCACCATTGCCTTGGTCTTTCATAATGTTGATTTTGCAGCCATTTGATTTACTGGTCCTTCTGCTGAGGTCTGCCTATAACAAAGTGACTATAATTGCCTCACAATGGTTACTGTGAGACCAAATTAGGATTTTATCAGAATTATTCTATCTGGACAGTATGAGCTATAGAAATCAATGTTAAATTCCATAATGCAAATAGATATGAAGGTGCTTTATTAAGATCTCTATTTTTTTCTCCGTTCTTTACTGGAGACTTTGTGTTCCCTGCTGGATTGTCTCCTGACCCCAGAGAACATTCCTTCAGACTCTCCTCGAGAACTCTATGAAATATACTTTGCCTTTGCGAGTGTGTGGGCTTTTGGAGGGGCTTTGTTCCAAGATCAGGTGAGTTTCTAGTGTTGAAGAAAAGATATGGTATTTTGGCCTTCCATTCACACTGGACAGTCTATCTGATAAGTTTTCAATAAGAAAATGAGGGTAGAAAAATTATCTTGTAATGAATGCACCTTTTATCACAAGATGGAGGTGTATTCTTTTCTATTTGCCTAAGAAGCATGAGACACAGAAAGATTATTCCATACTGGGCTATTCACTAAATAATCAATGTCACCCTTTTGTCACACCAAAGTGAGTCATTCAATGGGCATTTTCTCTATTATGTTAGAAGATTAACAGGCAATCATATAAGATTCTGGCTACATATCACTCCTTTGTGTACTAAATGGGTCAGAAATCAGAATACATTGTCCATGCAATACATAAGACCTGGATATGTTTTCATCTTCCATAGCAGTTCTGCCATTTCACTAGTTCTTTATTACTACTCTCTGAATATGTATTTATTAGCAACATTTTTGTGCCACCCAATAACTCTGGGTAGTTTACAATAAAAAAATACAAAAATAAAACCATTGTAAGCCATAAAACTAATGTGGCATAGAACTAGCACAGAGCATAAAATCAATATAACAGACCTCACGATAGCATCAAAACTTCACAGACTTTAAAATCCTACAAATACTCCCAAAAGTTTACAGTTCACTGAGACTGCAATCCTATAAATACCTGCATGGGAGTAAGTCGAAGTTAATAGGTTACTATCATATAGTTTATTGAACTGTTTCTCATAGCTTAGGTCAGGTTAGATAATGGGTTGCAGTCAGACTTAAATATGCTTGGAGTATTAGTACAACTACCACTATTATTACTACTATTATTAATTTTATTTCTATGCCACCCAATGGGCCTGGTATACTCTCTGGACAGTTTACAAGTAAGTCAATGGGACAAGTTTGTCATGATTAACTTAAGACTCATTAATTTCAGTGGATCTACTCTAAGCATGACCTAAGTTCAACACAAGGATTGGGAGGGTCCA